CCTGGATACCAGCTCGGTCCTTTTGACTCGGTTCAGAGACGTGCTATGAGAATTGTCGATGATCCCAATCTCTCTGACGGTATCGAGCCACTTAGTTTGAGGCGAGACTTCGCTTCGCTTTGTGTGTTCTACCGATTATACAACGGACTGTGTTCTGAGGAATTGTTCGACATTATGCCTACGGCCACCTTTCACCATCGCACGGGAATTAATTCCCACACGCTGGAACCTAAGTCGTCTCGGACAGTGCGGTTTCAGAGGAGCTTACTCCCGCGTACACTTATATTGTGGAATGAACTTCCTCCGAGGTTTTCTCACGAGACTACAGCATGGGGTTTTTCAAGAAGGATATATTAAGGTTTCTTAAGGGTCGGAAACGCGCACGTGACACCCTTGGTGCTTCAGGCGTCCATAGGCTATGGTAACCATTTACCATAAGATGGGCCGTATCTTTGCTTGCCACCATAGTAGTATATACGGAAAATACACCAAAAAGAAACTTTTTAAAATTTTTGTCTGTCTGTCTGTCGGTTTGTTTGTTCCGGTTAATCTCTGAAATGACTGGACCGACCGACTTTTTGGCAGGTAGTTGATGTAATAAGGAGTAACTTAGGCTACTTTTATTTTAGAAAACTAAATTCCACGCGGATGTAGTCGCGGGAGCAGCTAGTTCTTTATATAACTGAAATGAAAATTAGGCTGACGGTGCATCTGGTGGTATGTGGTAACCGTCGCCACCGTGAAATGCATTACGAACGTTATGTCCGTAATGCTGTTCGTGGCACGCACGCAATATCACTGATATGTTATACCGCCATATCTTGTAACTATACTAGTGCCTTATCTCATCATCCGAAACACAGCTTAAAAAAGAAATCAGCTTGACAGCTGAAATTGATGAGATAAGTAGCTGTTTATAATCAGGAGCTATATACGAAATAACCTTCATAAAAAATACCTACTCAATATGTATGAGATTATATTTATTAGGATAAGTTAACGTAGAATATGAGTATATATTGTATTTGTCCATAGAAATTTTGGTAAACACCGCTTCTTAAATACTTAGCTATACACCCGATCCTGTGTATTGGAAGAAAATTTTCATTTGTTTTATGTTTATTGCGATACAACTGACTAAAATCTTTGTTGTACCTAATGCACAAACATCGATTAAACTACCTTCGTATGTGAAATCTCACCCTGTTTAGTATGTATAACAGCTGTTTGTTCCTATATCACAAATGGAGAAAGAAGTGCAAATGAAAAAGTGAAACGCTTATTGTATTTCAAACGATCGATTAGACACCGTAAGGAGTTCCTACATACATACATATATTGTATAGCGATAGTTAATTGTGCAACAAGACCATCTTTAACTGTCTATCCGATGATATAAACGAATCATTACTGTTGTGTCTCTTATATGACGTTACATCAGAATTTATTCCATTTGTGATCGCCTTAATATGAATTAATATGTAATTATTTATTAACTTGGTAACAGAACAGCGTATCCAATTTGTTTTTCTCACATGTACCTAACCTATGACCTAAATATTTTATTCACAAAACATAGCAAATTTGCCCGTTTCGTTAATTCGTTTTGTTACTCAAGTAACTATTAATATATTTACATGTATGTCACTTCGCTGTTTGGCAGTTTGAAATCATGCATTAAATCTTAAAAATGTTATAGGTACTATACAATACTTGTCTAAAAGAGCAACACGCAAGTTATTTGCTCATTCTTCTTGTGATGATAAGTTTATACCCAAATTAAGATTATTTGAATAATAATTATATCCAATATTATAAATTCGAAAGTGTATCTGTTTGTCTGGAACCTTTTAACGATTGAACGGATCTTAATGTTTGGCATTTGAAGATATGTATTACGGATGAAAAATAAATATTTCACACCTACATGAATATGTAAGCAGCTTCATAGCGTAGCATACCCTCGGCTTCATCTGTTGTGGTTTTTCGGAGACAAAATGTACCCTAAGTATGTTCACCCTCGTAATTCAGTTTATCCATATGATAAATTTTATTAAAATTCGTTTAAACGTTTAGTCGTGAAATATAAAAACTGTCAGACTGTCACACTTTCTCATCTATACATATAAATAAAATTGGAGTGTCTGTTTATAATATTGAAATAACCGTTTTTTACTACTTGCATATTCATACGAGGGGCGATCCAGAAATAATGATAATCGGTTACTTCCAATGCTCATATAATTAAAAAAAAATTTTTTTAGCTTGCTTATATACCCACTAGGTTAGCATAAAAAAATTATGTAAATAGGCCACGATTTCCGGGAGGTACATTCGTTTGAATACGAACCGTCGCAGGGGTAACATCAAAATGGAGCAAAACGAAATAAGAGCTGTCCTCAACTACCTCTGTTTGACAAAAATGTCTACCAAAGGCATACACCCCGACGTAGTGGAAACACTGGGGGACTCTGCTTCTCCATATTTCACAGTTGCACGCTGGGCCAAGGAGTTTAAGCTGGGCAGAACATCCACGGAAGATGAACATCGCGAAGAACGCCCAACCACGTCCCTCATTGAAGAAAACGTGAAAAAAGTCGAAGAAGTAATGTTGGCAGATCCAATAGTGACCATCAGGCATGTAGTTGAGGTCACAGGGATCTCATATGGCAGTGTTCAAAAAATTCTCACTAATGCATTGCATATGAAAAAGGTCTCTGCACGGTTGGTGCCGAGAATGTTAACCGACGAGCAAATGAAAAAACGAATCGACATTTCGAGAGTGAATCTCGAAAAGTTCCAAGCAGATTTGAATTTTTTTTGTCACGTTTGGTGACCATGGATGAGACCTGGGTACTTCATTTCGATCCTGAATCCAAACAACAATCAATAACCTGGAAGCGAGCCTCCTCACCGACACCGGAGAAGTTTAAAGTGTCAGCGTCGGCGGGAAAGGTCATGGCGCCCGTTTTTTGAGATGCTGAAGGGTAATTTTGGTGGAATATTTAAAAAAGGGAGCCACTATTACGGCCTCTTACTACGCAGACCATATACGAAGATTGGGGGAGGTCATCAAGGAAAAAAGACGCGGCATACTGCGGGCTGGAGTGCTGTTTTATCAAGACAACGCACCAGCACACAAAGCCGCTGTTGCGATGGCTGCCATTGAAGAATCGGTATTCGAATTGCTCGAACACCCGCCTTATACGCCAGATATAGCTCCCTAGCTGACTTCTATCTCTTTCGTCAGCTCAAGGAACACCTCCGAGGCAAGAAATTTGAAGACGACGGTGAAGTGATGGCCACTGTTGAGGGATTTTTGGAGAGTCAAGATAAAGATTTTTATTCTAAGGGAATTATAAAATAGAAATAATAAGAACTAAATAATATAAATAGAATTTAGAAAGAAAGACTTGTTAGGAGTTATTTTTTAACTTTAATCACCGTGTATAATATTGATTATATTTACTTTTGGATCGCCCCTCGTATGCATGTAGTAATAAACGGTTACACATAAATACGGTACATACATCAAAATAACATTTTTTTACCATTTTTGTCTGTCTCTCTCTTGTAGTTACCTACCTAAGATGAAATTAATAACATAAGACATCGAGGATTTATTCTGTGTACCTAACTCCGAGACGTATGTTGCCTAGGTATATTTGTATTTATTTGAAACAGTCAGCGAGTCAAAGGTGCTACATAGGTATTTTTTTTTTTTTTTTTATATTTAAATACATTTTTCCACAGACATATTCGTCCGTGCCTTTTTTAATTTACTTTAATATTATAATATTTATTTAATTTCCATTTTTGTACAACTCCAGCCGAGATGTTACAATTTGCCTAACAGTGACACCGAGGCAGACCTTATCCGTCTGGCCCAGAACCACCGCTGGCCGGCCGGGTGAGTTGACAACATGCAGTGTCACCCATCTTTATTTGGAGGATTAGATTTATCAATATGCATATACAATTATATAAATCTTACACTACTACTAATTTCACAGTTTTCATTACATTGTGCAATGTAAGAATTCATAATGTAACAATACACATTATGAATTCTTACACTGCATATACAATTATATGAATCTTATTCTAACACTATTTTCAAAGTTCACTATTTGTTATAGTCCAGGTTTTGTTTAATTATTGATTGTTTAATTTCACAGGTCACTTTTTGTCGTAATTCGGCAATTTTTTTTTTTCTTCCCTTTTTCACTTCCCTTTCCCCTTCTTTCTTTCTTTTCTTTTTCCCTTTTTTTTTCTTTCTCTCTACATAGGTATTATGACTTGAAAAAAAATCACATATAGGTATTACATACTGTAAGGTATACAGACAAGGCAGGCGACTTCTCGCCCGCAATAGTCCGTCAGTATCTGCTCAGTCAAAGCTGGTGTTTTGGCCGTGTGCACGTAGTATTTGTCCATTTGGTCACCCTATTGCTGCGCCACTTAGTGTTTGTCGATCCGTTACTGTCTGTATCATTATTATTTAAAGGTTTATACCAATTCGGCTTAGTAGTTAATTTTCCACTGGTTTTTTAGTTAATAATTAATCTTCACATTGTTGCCGCCTGTGAAAAAAACACTTGGTATATAAGTTTTTGTATATATTGCCTATTGGTAATTTAAGTATATTAATTTTCTTGCCTCTCTGAACAAAATCCAGGGCACATGTATATTACCTAAACTTATAATATAGTTATTCTAATTGATTAAATAAAGAAGATTAAGAACCTATGATGAACATAGGCGACTTCATCTGTTAATTTTGTATACATATTGTAATTATATAATAATAATAAATACTTTATACCGATTTTAGGTAATGAATTGGTATACATTAATTTACTTTTTGTTAATATTTATTTCATTGCTGCTGTTCATCAATTTATTATTAGGTAAATGTTATAAATAAGATCAGTGATGTGACAGTAAACATAATAAAGCATACAACCAAATATTAAAACATACAAAAATAAAAAACAGTTTTAAGTAACAGTAAGTTTATTAGAAATATGTGTCATAAATATATCTAATGAATCATCTGAAGTACATTCAGTGGTTTTTTTACCATACTGTTCAACGAGTTTCATATGTTCTTCTAAATTTTCCACATCATTTGGTTCAGAGTCAAAATATCTGTCCTCTGCATCTTGAGATAATTGTTGCAAATCATCATATTGTTCATCATTGTCTATAGTATTGTAGTCAATTTCAGAATCAGTACCCTCTATGAAACTACTATACATTTCTTGAAAAAACTCTTCGCGTAAAAGATTCCTTTCAGGAGCACTTATCATAGTTTGTTTTCTAGTTTCTGGAACAAAACTAGGTCTTGTGTCAGGTGTATCAAAATCACCCCATTTTTTTGGACCTTTTAGTGCTGCATTGTCTCCTGTGTTTTCGGATGTACTGGAACTTGAATTATCCTGGCCAGTTTCTTTGAGCATTTGTTCATTTTTTACTTGTCTCATTTCATTTCGATCAACCGTTTCAAGAATCATATTCAAAAAGGTAAGATTCTCATTATCTACACCGTCTCGCTCTTGTATTTCTTCATCAGTCAAATATTGACCTATGAGCTGTTCATATAGCAGGGGATTACGATACATCATTTGTTTTTGACTAAAATAATCTGTTTCATCCTGTAGCTTCTGTAATGCTTTGTATCTTCTGTTTCTTATTCTTTTATGTTTGCTTTCTTCTGAATGGTATTGTTTTAACTGTCTAACACACTCTTGAAAGTTTTCAGTATTTCTTAAAGATTCAAAATAACCAATGTGGTAAGGTGCCAAATATTTTCCAAATTGTATCAAAAAATCTGCTGGTGATCTCTGATACAAATCATAGGCAATACGTTTCTTATCAATAGTTCTTATGGCACTTTCATTAATTCGAGGGTTTTTAAAAGTAATTTTTGCACATCGAACTAGATAATCAATTATGTCATGAATAGCGTCGATATTACCATCTATCTCAAAATTGTCCCCTAAATTATTATGTTCCATATTAAAAACATATAGGTAGTCCGTAATGCAAATTAATCAAGCTAATCTTTTAAAACGCACTTGGTATACCAATTGTCTGAGAAAAAAATAATATCCTAATGATGTCTGAGAAAAAATTAAAATCAATTTATTGAATAACTATTAAAATAAGAAAGATGGAAAGAACGTTTATAGATTTTCTTGTAATTAACTGTCACAATAATAATCGATTATTGAAATGTATTAATGTACATGTCAAAAATTTCAATAACAATATGATTTTTTTATATCTAATATATATACGGCTAGAGAAATCAGTTTGTTTGCCATTCCAATTACGTAAAAAAATAGGCAACTACAGTAACCTAGTATTTTGAATAAGAAGTACAGTAATTAAGTAAGGCAAAACGTAACGATTCGTTACTACATTCGTCGTTACTTTGGTCTATGGTAAAGTACAAACTATTTATATTAAGATACTTTATACTACACATGTTATACTTCGGTGAAGCTGTAAAGACTAACTGCGGCCAATACCATTAGAATTTTTTAATGCGGTTGCCAATTCGAAAACAAACGCATTATTGTCGATTGAGATTGATAACAATTACTGAGCAAGTAATCACTATATTTTATTACAAAAAATATATCAGCTGACTTTGACAGCTGATTGAGCCTTATTTGACTTTAACAGAGACGTTAAACTATTCAGTATCTGTAGAATTGTTGAAAACGGGGAATATATTATTTTGATGAGTGTCTTAGGGAGGTGGAGATTCTATAATAATCGATATCTACATTATTAATATTTTAAAATATTGATAACGCTAATTAACTATAGACCGCTTTTTATAATATTTCTTTTTATTACTTACTAACTGAAAACTAGTTCAGAAATATTGTACTAAAAATTGTTTGGAAAAAAGGGCCACACATTTGAAAACAAATATAGACTGTTATATGTTTAATGTTGATATAAATAAGGAGTTTTATAAAATAACATTGTTATTATATTGAATCGAATAGATGATGATCATGATGATGATTAAATCTAATAGAATTTCATAATATTTTATAGTTACAGAAAAACTTACCAGTTAGTTCTGAAAAAAAATATAGGTAATTATTAATTTACTTCTAAAAAGAACTTTTTCATCAATTTATTACTGTTATTCTTCTTTTTTGTAATTATGGAGCGATGCGATACTTATGAAGCCGACCGCCTTTACTTTTTACTTTTTAAAATTGGATCAGTAGAACCAAAAATTACCTCGAACAGACAAATATACAAACTTTACCTCTTTATAATATTAGTAGCTATATATATATTTATAATTGTGGACATCATAGTTTATGCTGGCCACTTAAAAGTTACAGTTTATACATTAAAAAGAATGTATATAATTTTAATTTTTGACATAAGAAAATAACACGACATTATTTTACTGTTTTTGCATCATTTTATTTTATATAGTTATCGAGTAGATGCAATGGATTTCTGCACATTAAGAACCGACTTACAAACATACAATATTATCCACCACATATACTTGAAGAATACGGATACAGAATTTTTTAAGTCATTTTAATATCGATATACAGTACATGTGTTTTGCAACCCTAATTCCTTCATATTTTTGACACTTTAAATAGCAAAGTTATTGAAACAAAGATAAATATTTATCAAATATATAATTTATAAATTATGTACCTTATAATGTAATTCAGTATATCGTGATGTAAATATGTTTGTGATCGCAGAAGAGAAATAGAAATAATAACTTTTCTATTACAGTTTTTACACAACCTGTAGTGACTGTTACAAACAAACTATTGTTTTATTATGATTTGGAGATGGGAAGATATGTGCGGTCCACTCGGGCTAGAACCATGGAAAGAAGAATCAAAAGACATTGGACAATGTTTCCAAGAATTATTCTTGCAAATACCTCTGTTTTTCTTAATAGCAATAGTTTCAGGCTTTTATGTTGGGTACAGAAAAGATTGGGTTGTTCGGGAAAAGACACAAGAGCGCGCCATTGTTCTCCGCAGCTTTGTGGTTTTAGCTTTAGTTTTAATTCCAATAATAGAAATGTATATTATTATCACTAAAGTAGATTTTATTTTATATCCTGTTGATTATTTTTGTGCGGGTGCATCATGTTTATCATGGCTGGTGCACTTTGGATATGTACTGGCTTTAAAGCATAGGCTTGGCATAAGTTCCCGAGGACCCTTACTACAGCTTATTTTGTGGTGCTGTGTTGTGATATTAAATATAGTTGCACTCCGAAGTAACATACTTACAAATTCTACAATGGATTTTAACATTGCAACATTGTGCTGCCATTTCCTTTATTTTCTGACCCTTTTGCCATCAAGTGGTTCCAGACCAACATACTATTCTCCATGTCTAGTGGGAAGCCAACATTCCCATGTAAGTTATTTAATTATTAATTTTTTAACTAATAACTTTACATTTCCTACATATTTATTCTTTGTAGATGCAAAGCAAATCTGTATTCCAAAAATCATTATTCATAAAAGCTTAAAACTATTTAACATACAACAATTTAGAGTGCAATAAAGAGTATATAAATAAATACATAAATAAAATTTAAAATCCACATACTTATATAAAGTGCCACAATTTATATTTTATGATTGATATCATAAAATAGTTTACATGTGATCATGTAAACTAACTTTTAAAAAAATAATATAATATTTGTAATAACAGGAAGTTTAATATATAATTTATTAAAGTTTAATATTATATTAAGAATAGAATTAAACTAAAATAATTTTGTATTTCACAGAATGAATATACTCCTCTGCTTCCACATATGGATGAAGGTATATTAGGTACAGCTATGCAAGGCAATAATTACTTTTCTAAATTAACATTTACATGGGTAGATCCACTTCTACAGAAAGGTAATTGTTTCATTTTTAATTATCTTAATGTCAAGTCCCTTAGTGACACTAATAACTAATGATCTAATTTTAACAAATACTACCTCTGATATCATTACTAGGTATTGATATTTTTATAGAATTTAACAATAAACTTGTCTTTTATTGTTGTCATGATGGAATGTATAAATGTATGAAATAGCTCTAAATGAATTATCTTTTTAGGACTGGAGAATAAACTACATGACCCAGAAGAACTATTTGATATTCCAGGAAAATATCGATGTTCATATGTGGGTGCAAGGATGGATAGAGCTCTTGTTGGTAACATAGATAATTATCAATATGCAGAAGTACCACATGAACCTTTTATAACATCAGGTTAACATCATAACAGTATATTTTCTTTGATCATGTTTGTCATCAAATATATAATATTATTATTCCATTATATTCTCATAACTGTCAGTAAATTTTAGGATATGGATCTATTGGTGAGCCACAACCGCAAACATCTACACCTGTAACTCCAACTGCTCGTGTCTTAGTACGGCCACAACGTAGACAAAATGTAACAATGCTGCATGCATTACACACCTGTTTTGCAGTGCAGTTTTATAGCATTGGTATTTTGAAATTTGTGTCAGACATGGCAGGATTTGCTGGACCTATGCTACTGAATAAGCTAATCACTTTTGTTGATGATGAAAGTATTGACCAACATTTAGGGTAAGTAAATAAAATTTTCTATGTTTGAAGTGATAATAAAAGATTTAAGTGAGGGTTGTACAATCTTAGGCTAATGTATATTATAACTATCTATAATGAAAAACATTGTAACAGCAATATTGTGTATGTTTAAACTGTATCCATAAAGGGAAGGGAATTGTTAGTAATGGGGTCTAATGTCTCCGTTGCTAGTAATGTACCATGTTAGGTCGACCAGCACATGATGCCCCCTGGAAACTGACCTGGGTAAACTGACCTGACCTCTTACCATCCTCCATTGGTGTCCTGACAGCATAAACCGTTAGTTCAAGTAGTGTTGTTCAAGGTGCACCATTCCATCCCATTGCCATTTAACATCCTATAAGATAAAACACAGACTGGAATTGCACTTTATAAATGAAGCAATATGTAATATATTTGTAGATACATATATGCAGCGGGGCTTTTAACTTCCACACTAGTGAGTGCATTATTCAATGTTCATTTTAACTGGTTGATGTCCTTAATTGGGCTTAAAATGCGAGGTGCAATCGTCGCTACAATTCTGAGGAAGACATTAAGTGTGAGCTCTACAGAACTCTCCAAATCATTTACAATTGGAGAAATAACAAATTTTATGTCAACTGACACTGATAGAATTGTAAATGCATGTCCAAGTTTTCATGCTGTTTGGAGTATTCCCTTACAGGTAAGTGAGTGCTTTAGTTATTGATGCAACAGCAATTTTAAATTTACTTTTAGTGAAACTCTATTTTCACACATATTTTTTTTCAGCTAGTCATCACACTGTTTCTTTTATATCAACAAGTAGGAATTTCATTTCTTGCTGGGGTCGCATTTTCTATTATTTTAATACCTATAAATAAAATCATAGCGAATAAAATAGGCCAGTTAAGTACAGAGTTGATGCGGTACAAAGATACTCGTGTTAGTTTGATGAGTGACTTGCTGAAGGGTATTAGAACAGTGAAAGTACATGTATGGGAAGATTACTTCATAAATAAAATTTCTGGTAAGTTTTTATCATTATTCTAAACATCTATCATTGTGTCATTAATTAATGATATAACATATTTTCAGTAACTTGGGAATTGCTAAAGTTTATATATTGATTGCATCATATGCCTTTGTGGTGTGTAAGGAGTAAATACGGACACTGCTTTAGAGCTAAAAGTGTTTAGTAATATGCGTCATGATTCTTTTGTATCTAATTTCAAACTAAATATAACTTGTACTATGAGCGTTGAACATAATATGTAATTTCACATTTTTCGTATATTACAATTGCATGAGGTTTATATTTTTAGCCGAATGCATACGTCCTATTTAAAAAATAGGACGTATGCATTCGGCCTGATATTTGAAGAAATTTGCTATCTGTCTTTCTTAAAAAAACCCGCAATCAATAAATGTTTAAATTTACAGAGGCACGTAAGTCGGAACTACGTTACCTACGAGCACGCAAGTACCTAGACGCGGTGTGTGTGGTCCTGTGGGCAACTACTCCAGTACTGGTGGCGGCACTCACGCTTGGCACCCATGCGCTACGACACCGCGCTCTTGACGCACCCACCGTACGTATACATTCTAACTCATTGACTATGTTTGCTTTTATAACTAACAATTTTGTCTAAATTAAATAGAATAGTCTCCCGCCTACCACCTTTAATGAACATAACAGTGAATATAGTATTCAAGTAAAAAAAATCAGACTTAATTTCGTTAAAAACAAAAAAATTGTGAAAATCACAGTCACATGAATTTTCTCAATTGAAACGTTAAATGTTGAGTAAAGTTTTTGAGTTAAATACATCGGAAGTCAAGTCTAGACCACTCATTTGTTTTTTTTGTATTTTCGCTCGCTCATTTGTTTTTACTCCCAATCTTAGATTATTCAGATTGCTGCTATTTAAATCTCACTGAAGAACAAATGAATCTACTTGAGTGACTACAAAACATTTGTATTTATTAAAGAATCCTAGTTCATATAGTTTACATTTCATGCGGTAATGTATTGTACTGTAATTTTTAATTTCACAGGTATTTACGACAGTTGCATTAATTAATATGCTAATAGCTCCGTTAAATGCATTTCCATGGGTGCTTAATGGTCTCACCGAAGCCTGGGTGTCGATTAAACGGATACAAAAGTTGTTAGATGTATGTACCTACTTTTTTAAATTAAGTATTTAATTGTTACATATACTTCCACTTCGTTTTGAATTTTATTTAATCTACTTATGATAATATAATATATTATATCTATTTCATTTTTTAATTAAATTATTTATGGTTGTATATGATAGCTTCCAGATATGAACAATGAAACATATTATAATAGGCTTAATACAAACAGAGATGAAGATAAGATTATAATTATTAAAAATGCGAATTTCTCATGGGTTAAACCTTCTAAACGGAAGAAGCCTAAACGTAAAACAAAGGGCAAAGGAACTTCGAAAAGAAAAACTTCTAAAGGAAATATTCAACGGCAAGACTCAACATCGTCATCAGATTCTCTAATACAGGAGGAACCATTTATGCTCAAGGATATTTCATTGGAGATTGGAAGAGGAGAGTTTATAGGAATAGCTGGCAATGTTGGCAGTGGAAAGACATCATTGTTGCATGCTGTTATCGGGGAAATGATAAAAAAGAGTGGTGACATAGAGATATTAGATGGTATAAATGGTAAGTAATTAAAGAGTTCTATGAATGTGTGTTATTATTATGACTTACTCATCTATGATGATGATACATGTACCAAATAAATTTAATTTGACAGGTTTTGGCTACGTTTCGCAACAGCCGTGGCTAGTTCGCGGTACTATTCGAGACAATATACTATTTGGAAAACCATACGACGAAGCTAAATTTCGTTCCGTCGTCGATGCGTGTGCTCTTACTGGTAATTATACTCATTTGTGTAGATTAAGTGTATATAGTGTGAGTGTTTTATATAATTAATAACATTATTCATTACATTGTTTTATATTGCAGAGGATTTGAATGTGCTGGGATGGAACGCGTATGTTGGAGAGGGCGGATGCACACTGAGTGGCGGACAAAAGGCTCGAATATCTCTGGCGCGAGCTGTCTATCAGGAGAAAGATGGTAAATATACTTAGATATATCTTCCACTGTTATATATTATATCTACCTACACATTTATCATTGAGGTATAAATACAGGCTGTTTTAGACCTTTATCATTGAAAACTAAAGAGTTCTGTTTCAGAGTTCACTACCTAGACCCGTACAAGAACTGAAGGATATTCATAGGAGCGATGGTTTTTATCTCCTCAGTATACAGCATGTACTTTTTAAAGCAGATATTTAGTATAGACAAGAGTGGATTTTAAACATATAGGATGTGTAGTGGCGTTTCCTCTTCATCTTGGCAAAATCTGTAAATCATTGTTAAGCAAGTATTTACTTAATTTGCAGTGTCTGGTATGGACCCTAATCATGATACATATATTGTTTTTACTCAATAGCATCAGTTTATTAGAGTAATGATTCGAGTATTAGGGCTTTTGAATGTATTAATTCTGTCATTTTCTAACATTCATGTAAGTAAGTAAGCTCCTAGTTCACTTGGAAGATAAGCGCTGATGCATGAGGAAGAGAAAGTCGATATGCAAATCAACATGAAGATGCAATAAGCAAAGCAAAACATTTCGTTTCTCGTTTTTAAAACATGCTATTTCGGATGGTCGCAGTGTACCTGCTGGACGGCGTGCTGTCGGGGCTGGACGGCGCGGTGGCGGCGCACGTGGTGCAGCGGTGCCTGGTGGAGCTGCTGGGCCGCACCACGCGCCTCCTGGTCACGCACTGCCCGCGACACCTGGCGCGCGCACACCGCCTACTGCTGCTACACGAGGGCCGCCTCCGCACAGCAGGTACTACTATACTCTCTTTCTCTCTCTCTACACCTATGAATAAAATAAACTTACCAAGTTGTAACAAATTATATTATTTTATATTAAAAGGATATGAAAAGATACACCTGCGTTAACGGTATACGTTAATGTTCACGGGGCCCAGTGGAGTATGATAAGATTAACATGAAGTCAAGTCACTCATAACAAATTCATTAGTAATTAACCGCGTGCTATGGTACATTATCGGCAAGGGGAAAACTATTCCTTTTTTTGTTAATAAAACTTAGAAGGGACGATAGGCTTAATCTTAATAAAAAATAGGTAACAAATAATTGGTGTGAAATGATAAGATGGTGATAAAGTTATAATTATTTATGACATCAAAATAACGACTAAAACTGTAAACATAATTTTAATCATTACACTTAGGTGCTCCTGAAAATGTATTACACGAAATAGAAGAGTTTATACCGAGCGAAACAGAAACAGAATCGATTGCTGAGGAAACGCCAGGTCCCTCTACCAGTTCAATTGTAAAAAAAAACGAAATCGCTACTGATAACCAAGACAATGTCAGTAGGAACAGTTTAGATAATGAGGTGAGTGTGTGCGGTTTTTTCTTTATTTTTTATACAAGTAAATTTGTATCTAGTTTTTGTGTAGCATCATAAAGGGATAATCAATAATTTAAAAAATCTTTTATTATATGTTGCACTTAAATATCAAATAGAATTTTCTTGTTAAACCTTGTGCATTTTCAGTGAGGACAGTTTAGGCATCTATCCTATCTCCTGGAGATACTTTGTCTAAGACAGTAGGTGATAATGTACTCTATGGTAAAACTAAATGGCGCTATGTGAATTGTTCAGAGTTATTATTATCATTTTACCAACTGGTGGTACATAGAAGACAACCAGTCCAATACGAACCCGCATAAGCGATTCTAGGCAATCTTGTCGCTTTATTTTACATAATCCTTATTCCAACATTATTTTTGCTTTACCACAGGAAGTAATGTCGGAAGGAACTGTTGGGTGGTGGGTAATAGGCCTGTATCTGCGTTCAGTGGGACCATTCCTAACAATTATGATCATCCTGTCTCTAATACTAATGCAACTCTCGCAAAACTTTACATTTTTATGGCTCGCATTTTGGGTTCGGAATAATTCGAAGAATAGTACGAGTCTACCAGATGACTTCAATTTTAATCAAGACATTCACGAAAATAAGACTATTTTGGATCATGGATTTAATATTTTTGATAACATAGTACATACTATCGTTAACACTTCAATGTCGCTGATTTATAATTTAGATGCGCCAGAAACAAATACAAGTAATATCAATAGCACAGAGAGAATTGTAGAGCCAGTGGTTGCAAATGTTACATCCGATTACAATGACAATTACTACCTGGAGATATATTTTGCCTTAGCTGGATTAAACTTGATATTTACTATAATGCGGGCATTTTTGTTCGCATACGGAGGTGTTGAAGCTGCTACAAGGATACATAAAAGCCTTTTGAAAGTTATAGTAAAGGTATGATGTATATATTGAAGTATTTGGTCAGTATTAGTAGACTACGTAAACATAGCATAAAATAATGATTCATATATTTCAGGCAAAGGTAAAATTTTTCGACGTGACGCCTTTAGGACGTATTCTAAATAGATTTTCATCTGACACTTACACAAATGACGACACGTTGCCGTTTATTTTGAACATACTTCTCGCCCAGTTTTTTTCTTTAATTGGTAAGTAACTTTATTTATATGCATAGTTTAATTTTTACTATAAAAGCCATTGTGAAATGTTATATTATTATTTTTGGTATAAATTAGTAATTAATTAATTTCCAATAATATTATATAATTGTACTTTTAGGGCTAAGTCATCCTAAATGTCTATAAATTAGTAAATAATTGTCACCACTAGCGCTTCGGTGTGATGGAATCACATTTTACAAGTAGCAAGTTATTACATTTTTATTAATACATGTCTGTAAAATAAATGTAATACTAATAGATATTAACGCTTAAACTACTAATTTTAAAAATTATACTAGAAACTACAGAATGTGATGACTAAATGCCCTATACCATATTCAATCTGTTTTAATATTATTAGGTTTCATGTTTGCAGTAGACTATCTTACTATTTAATTTATAAATTTCTCGATAAATACCGTGTTATTGACTCTCATGATTTTTTTACAACATTGCTTGTTATAAACTCATGTTGTATTTCATTATCAGGCGCAGTGGCGGTCGCAATTTACGGCATTCCGTGGTTATTGGCGGGAGTAATACCGCTGGCATTTATATACTACCGGCTACAACACCGCTATCGACCCACCTCGCGGCAACTCAAACGGCTGCAGAGCGTTACTCTCTCGCCTGTTTACACGCATTTTAATGATACGCTTGAAGGTAGGTTCGGTGTTTTCTGCAGATAATTTAAAAACTACTATGTATCATACATATAACGTTACTCGTTTAGTTTTATATTTAAAAATGATACAGATGTTAGGCCACATTGTTCCAGTAACCGACAATCGGGCATAAAAGTTCTTGAGTGGTTTAAAAATATTCCTTTACTGATCACCTTAATGGACGAGACTATCGTTCAACAGCTGATAATAATGAGATCTATTCTCGTAATTAGAAATAGGAATAATCTTTATTCAATTATTAAACTCTATATAAGCACTTTTGAAGTAATTTTTTTTATTCTTCATTTGGAACAAACAAGAAATTTGCTTGTTACAATTATTTAAAAAAACACTTATTCAAAAATGCATTGAATAAGTGTTTTTTTAAATAATTGTATATGAACATGTACGAGACGTGCACTAATCTATATATAAACTGATACACATTCATCTTTGTACTATGAGAAATTTTAAAAAGAAAGTATCAATCATATTATGATTGCAGGTCTGACGACTTTGAGAGCCATGGATGTGAGTGGACGTTGGGCAGAGCGTGGAGAGGAATTAGTGGAGGCGTGGCAACGAGCAGCGTTATGCGGCGCCGCCGCATCCCAGTGGCTAGCGCTGAGGCTCCAGTTCTGTTCGGGCGCCGTGGTAGCGGCTGCCGCGCTGCTCGCCGTGCTGCAACGAGCCACGCACACCGCCGAGCCAGGTATGTGGTGACGTTACGCTCCATTGCAGCCTCTCACATGACACTAGTCATCCATACTCCTCTAGGGGAGTAAAGGTTGAGAACTGGGGCTAACCCCTTTGCCCCGACATCAACTCTGTGATAACCCACGGGTAGCTGGATTTAAGTCTCTTAGAGCGGATTACTTAAAAACTAACAGAATACTTTCGTATGGTTTCTTTTATATTATATAGTTTTTTTTTTATTTTATTTTGTACAGCCAAGTATGGCACTTACATAAATACTTAAGCGAGTTGGTTTCCCTCCCAACTAGTATTGTTGACTTATAAATAATTAGGTCGTCAAGGGACGTGGCGTAGACTGCAGTAGAAAGTAGAAACTAAAAATATACAAATATACATTAATATAGAGCATTTGCTTTAAAATTAAAATCATGTTAAGTTCTGGTATTAATAATCTCGGGTTTTCATTTCCTGAAAATTCTGTATGCAGGACTGGTGGGTCTAGCCATATCATACGCGTTGTCTATGACTTCGATGCTGAGCAATGTGCTCAATTCATTCACGGAGACCGAACGAGAGATGATAGCTGTTGAACGCGTTGGTGAATACATAAAACAGGTGTGTCTCCATGGAAAATTATTTATATTCATGTATACATTCGACTAAATCATAATTGATGATGACCTGATGAGCCTTGACTAAAAATGTATGTGAGATCACTCTCTACATCGGATCAACTAATGTATTGAGCGGCTAATGTAATAGATTTGTGGCTATTATCTTTTAAGATTTTGTCATTATTTATTTATTTTGGGTATTATTTGTGTAAAGCACTTTACTAAAATAAATAAATGTTTAATTTGTAGTTGCACTGAAAATAACTATACTCTGTTTTCCCTTAAAATGACAAATTTGACAGTTACATATGTTGCCAGCTTTTGCGATTCTTAAATAATTCCATTTTAATAATCACAGTTATATACTTATACAAGAACCTTATTATATCTAATGTAATGATTCATTTTATTGCAGGTTGAAAGTGAAAAGGTTGATGGTGATTCACCGCCTTATGGATGGCCATCGCAGGGTGTAATTGAATTTGAAAACGTTCACCTAAAATACAGGTAGGAAATATCGTGTTATCGGGTCGTGACCACCAGAAATGCTTCTACTAATCAATATCGGCATCTCTATCCTGTGTCAAGTGAATCGCCGGCTGCATATAACTTGACGACATCTCTAACAGAATAAGTCCATCATCATGCCAGCTGTCTATCCCTTCTTCCGTCCAAGTGTCCTACCATTATACATTTTTCCAAATTCTCTAGTTCCCGTTGGGCTACGTGACTATAATTCTATTCTGTTTTAGTGGGCGCGAAAATGGCCCATCTGCTCTAGATGGGTTGTCGTTCAGCACGTGGCCGGGCGAGAAACTGGCGGTAATAGGGCGTACCGGCGCCGGCAAGAGCTCACTGCTGCACGCGATATTGCGACTTGCGCCGCTCAGCGCCGGACGCGTGCTCGTCGACGGCGTCGACGTAGCCACCTTGCATTTACACGCGCTCAGGTAACAGTAGTCACATGCAACTTAACGATACTTTGATTGATATGGCACACGATAGAAAGTGGAAAAACAGGCGAACAGCGCCACTCATAACTAATATAACATAACTCATACAGTTTTCATGCGTTGCCTTTCCTGAGAACTTCGATTTTACTTAACGTTACTTTTTTTTTTGCCTGTTGAATATAAAATAATATACAGTCACACAAAGTCAGTAATTAGGCAACTAGTACATTTAATGTTTAAAATTTTTATTTGTTTAGCAGTGTTTAGTGTTTATATAAAATATATCGTAAAATGATTGTAATAATAATGAAAATATCATCGTATGCAGTTTGATTTGATGTATTTGCTCATGACATACTTATACAAAATGTCTACAACAGCAGTATTTGGTGAATTGTTTTTCTGCGTCTTTCCTGTCAGATGATCTAAAATAAAACATCTAGTTACACCAAATGAGCGATTTAAAGTATCGTATGTGGCAGGGCGCGCATCGGAGTGATTCCACAGGAGCCGTTCATATTCGCGGGAAGCATGCGCGACAACGTGGACCCGCTGCACGTGCACACGGACGCGGAGGTGTGGCGCGCGCTGGACGCGTGCGGCGCGCGGGGCCTGGCCCGCCCGCCGCTGGCGCTGGCCGCGCCCGCCGCGCACCTCTCGCGCGGACATGCGCAGCTGCTCTGCCTCGCACGTGCGCTACTACAGCGCCCCAAAGTACGCTCACACCGACTTTTAATTAAAAATGGGTCTTGAAAAAATAAAAATAATTAATATATATTAATCTAAAAAAAAACAAATTGACTACAAGACAATAGTGGCACTATTGCTTAAGTTACGTTAAATTATTTTAATTTTATTACTGTCAGTTTTTTAAGTTTCCCGCCCTAAGAGGCTTAAGTCCAGGCTGTCGGGGGTTGTTGCCCCGGAGTTGATGGGGTTGTTTTCATTTGTTTTATAAAGAGGCAGTTAGTGCTAGTTTTAGTGAAACATATGTCAATTTGTAGTACAAAGTAATACAGTATAGACAAAAAACAAAGAGAAACGGTAAACCGCAATTATAGCGAAACTAAGTTTAGAATAATTCAATTTTTAACTTGTTTACAACAATTAACTTAAAAATGTAAAAGCTACAAACTAAATTATTCAAAAGAGCAACACGCAAGTTACCTGCTCGCTCTGAGACGGCTTTCAGAATGAGCGGTAGATTAAAAAAAAATGGTGACTATTCAAAATTACTTCAATGTAGGTTTATTTGAATACATTATTTTCTACAATATGATTTGATGACTGTACATAGATTCTACTAGTGGACGAGGCGACCGCGAATCTGGACCAGGAGACGGAACGGCTGATACTGGAGACGGTGCGATGCGCGTTCGGCGGGTGCACGGTGGTGTCGGTGGCGCACCGGCTGGCCGGCGTGCTGGGCAGCGCGCGCGTGCTCGTGCTCTGTCGCGGCCGACTGCTCGACCTCCGCGCGCCGCACGACGCCCTCGCAGACTCCACCTCCTACCTGCACCAACTACACTACGGCTACGGCACTTAGCCATGGGCTCAGAGTGGAGCGACTAATATATTATGTAACTAACAAACTATACCCACTGTCTTACCCCGATTATTTATTTCAAACAACGGTTACATCCTATATCTGTATGTTATTTTTTGTGTTGACTGTCGAGTATGAACTTTTTACGGATATTAAGTATCGGAGTTAGTATTTAGGTAATTTATTATTTTAGGTTTGGTTGATCTTACAGGTCTGCCTCACCGTGGCTGCGCTACCTTCTATTTGTATATCTTTTCGGCAAATTACGAAACGGGAAGACAGAACTAAATGCAATTAGCACGCGTTCCATTTCATAACTCGTCTTATGCTATTGCTATTGTCTGATGTGATTGATAGTCAGATGATTAAATTCCAGGTGGAACTAAACAGTGTATATCAGTTTGTTATTAATTGCCTTTGTATTAATTTGTATACATTGAAACACTAATTATAATCTTCTGCTTTACCATTATTCGAAATTAGGTATTATATCACCATACCATATGTACTTTCTTTCTTAAGCAATTTGTTTCCAGATAATATTCCAAGCCAATTGGTTTCCAGAATAAATGACACAGAGGCACACATAAAAATTAAATAATATGTGCAGTCGCCCTCTAATACTTCTATCTGACTAAACATATATCAATTTCTTTTATTTTGATTAGACTAGATGCAATAACTACGTCACTCTCTAAACAGAATGGCCAATGCTACAAGTATTCTGTAGTTTTAATTTGTAATCCTTCTGACTTATAATCTTAATATCGATTTTGAAAAGTTTTTTTTTTCTTGTCGTCCTGATATATGTACGTAGGCGCTAGTTTGGGAGCTGGGACTACATGTAGCGTTGGACTAATGCTAAGAGTTCTAATTTTGCTGTAATCAGCATAATTATAATTGTAATTTTTAATTGTGCATGTATTGAAACAGTATTGATATCTAGACAAGTAGTAGATATTCAGGTATTTGTTAGTTTATTTTATTTCTATTCTTTCATAATTTTGTTATCGCATGCATAACTCTAATTACGTCCACACTACAATTAAAAGTAATTTGACTACCTGGCCAGCGTTAATAGATATTAGTAGATAATGTGTAGGCGATGGTCTGGTTGTCTAAATCTAACATTGTGATAGTCTATTTTCAGTTTCTTGTTGATGGTACATATAGACCTGTGAGCATAAATCCTTATTTTAGTTTTGTTAATTACTAAGCAATATTAAGAGGATATTACTTTGATATGTGTAGGTATAGGCGTATAACAGTATGAAATTAATGAATAGACTGATAAAAAAACTAGTCGATGTAATTCGGTAATTGGTTTTCCTGAATAAAGTGTTGTTATACAATATAAATTACTTTAAATGATAAGTTTGTTTATTCATTTTTTGTTAAAAATAAAAATGTGATATGCGACTAAAGAATATATATGTCATAACAATTGTAATAAAACAAGTTGTATTGTTATTTGTTTATTATTCACAAATTTCGTTCTTCAGGCTTCTTATAAGGATAGTTAATATATTCAAAAATCTCTTCTTCCGACGTAATGGGCACTGGTTCCCCCGGGACACCTAGATAAAAGAGATCAGGAGTTAATTATTGCTTGGCACTTTTAATCTTATTATAAAAAAAACAATTTCATAAGAATTAAATACAACTCATATTTTGCCAAAATAGTTGTTGAATGATATAAAATGAATAATTTTTGTTGAATGAAACCAGCAATATATTATTATTTCCCTGTCTGAGCTACAAATGTAGAACAACAACCAATGGTAAGTATTATATATTATATTAATAGTTATACACAGAAAAAACATCAATTAACTTACCAGTAACACCTATGGGACGCAAGGAATACTCATTCAACGTAAATCCCTGTTCCAATGCGTGCGCTCTCATATTCTTATTGAACACGTCACTCCCAGTAAAGTACAGGACTGCGCAATAATATTGCACACATGGAATGAGTCTGATATCCAAGCGGCGATACGGTAATTTGTTTGTTAATCGACAAACACCCTGTTAAAAATAGTTATACTAATTAAATTATAATCATTTTTAACCCAGATGGTTGGATGGTTTTTTGAACATTATATAAACAAAATCTTGTGTTTCAGTATGTGACTTTCAAGTAGTTGTTTCGTTTCTGCACCACATTTTTGGAGTGCAATCACATAATGGCATTAGAGAAAATTTTGTTAATTAATTTAGAAAGAAATCAAATTATAATATAATTTAATTCTTTCTGAATATGACTCGCACTTTTATAAATTATAGATATTCAACTCATTAGAGTCAAACATCTATAATTTATAAAAGTATTTATAAACTTATTAAAGTTAATGTTAAAATTGTGTTTAGGCCCTAAGAACTTTGCAATTTGTATTCTGTTATAAGTCTCCTAGGGATGAGAGACAAAATTTTACTTCATATAAATTGGGTAACTTTTATAGGTAAAATATGGTATGTGTCTGATTTGTCTGCAAACGGCCAGTCGTCTTCGCAGTGAGAAGAGGTATTTATGATTTGCTGAACCTACTTGATGGAAAAGATATTACTTCTTTTCTATCAAGTAGGTAGATTATTAGACATATGATATAGGACACCATAAGAATGATTGGTCATGTCAGATTGTCCTACATGCCCTGGAACCATAGTGGTAAATTGCCATTTCCCAAGATGATTTGCTTACTTCATACTCATTTTATCATTCACTGGTGCCCAGCTAGTGTAAACCATTAGTGCAGGCGGTTGGTTCATTCTATTATCATTAATAAAAAAATGTAAGTAACAAGGTACGTAGTAAGTGGTGTTATGTTTACAAAACTGTTTTATCTAATGATAAAAAAAATATTACCATGAATTTAGTATCTCCCATAGATATGGTGTCAGTGATGAGACTGCTATTTAATTTATCAATCAGTTTTTTTAATATTTGATCTTTAGGCTTTTTTTTTTCTTCAACTACCTTCACCAAGGGATGAGTAACCAAAACATCTATATCACCACAATTTTCTTTACCTCTTCTACAAAAAATATAGATAGATAAATATAAAAAGTACAAGATATTTTAAAAGTTGCTATTCTATCCACAAAGATAGAAAAGGAAAGTAACTGAATGATTACTATGTTAATTTATATTAATTCTTTGTTGTTGTTTTTTTTTTTTCATTATAATGGCAAACAGACTGAGGGCCCATATGATAGTAAGCTGAAGCCTATATATGAAGAATTCCAAAGGATTAAAGATTCCTTCTTATCTTGTAATTTCACTACTTAATCACACACTATAGAAACACAGCTCTCAAAACAAGCAGCTTGGCAGCTGAAATCAGTCTATCACCTCATGAGTCTGACGCTAACAAGTTCTACGTGAGCCATGTCAGATATTTGGTAAAAGGCCACGGTAATCACAGATTTTTGACACAAATAATACATTTGCATTATGATTCGAAAGCATAGCCTATCAGGAAAAAAACCTGAAAATTGCTTGGCTCACTACAAACTATAAAATAAAATAAATGAATCTCAGACATATAAGACTGACATGTCAGTCATATATGTGTGACATAAAAAATAGTAATTTTCCGTTTATTTTATGCAAAAAAAAAATTCTGTGATACATTTTTAACTAAATTATCGAATAAAGTTATTATGGCCCATGTGAATTTTTTTCTGATATTATCATGCCAAATAACATGTTATTAATATTGAGTTTTAAGATTCACATTTGTATAATAAATTATAACAAAATAGCTCCTAAATTTTCCTTAAAAAATTACCTGTAACTACCACAAACAGTTATAGTAAATTCAGCATCTATAGAGGTAATCTGTTTCATTATCACCTCTTCTACTTTCTTAATCTCAGATCTCGGAATTTTCTTTTCAAAATCTTCAAAATGTCTGTAACATCATTAATTATTTAATGGTTGATTTCTGATAAAATAATATTTTCAATGATAATTTAAAAATTTTATTTTTAAATTAACAAACAAAATATTATTTAATAATGAGCATTGTCAACAATTAGTACTAGTTTAAACAATAAAAGCCATCTCACCTTAAACCAATTATTTGATGATGGTTCAGTTTATCCTGATATTTTCTTAGGTGTTCTATTGATTTAAGGCCTGCTCTGACAAGTTCTGCTGCCTTAACAGGCCCAATGCCAGATACCCGAGTTAGCAAGCTTACAGCTTGCGCCTCTTCATCTTGATGAATATTTTCCAATTTTTTTAATTTGCCAGTATGAAGAAATTCATCAATTTTCTTTGATATCTTATCTCCAATTCCATTTAATTTCCTAGCTTCCTCTCCAGACTCAATTCTTTTTTGATGGGTAGCTAATACAGTTGCTGCTTTTCTATACGCATTGTACTTATGTATATTACGGCTTACATTTTTCTCATACTCTGACAATTCTATTAAAAAATTACAGAATGCTGCATTGACATTGCCATTATACGACGGGTTCTTACGTTTACTCATATTATTAACACAATCTACTTTTTCATTACTATAAGAATTTTAAGTTAGCATATATCAATCTAAATGTATACATATACCCAGTTTATATAATAATCTCTTGTATAATAATATGCAGTAGTAAATACAAATAATAACTTTATGAAGTTTTATAGTTTCTATAATAAGATCTAAAAAAGATGTTTTAAGATCTAAAGTAGATTAATATGTATAGACGGTATGAGAATAAATAACATAATTATTAATGTTAATTAATGTAAGTAAAAGTACTTAAAAATTTATACTATTACAGTTAAAAGACAATTTTTGTTATTGTACACTACTAGCACTACTGTTACTGTTACTCTCGGTATTTTTACTTTACTCTTTGTCAAAGAATAGACTACTCAAGAGCTCTTCGTGCTACTGTGTGTATCAAGGAACATAATACTCTAAAGAGAAGAAGGGTAACCTAGTACAAAAAAAATGGGAAATACTCCAATACCACTAGCGCTACAAATTCCGCACGGAATATTTTAGCACTAATAGTGGAGGGAAATTCAAATATTTTGGGTTTATAATTTTATTACTCAAGTCTTTAGACGGTCAAGAGCTTCATCAAACACGAATATTTTGCCTTTAGGAACAAAAAAAAATCAGGCAAATGTAGCCTTGAATGGCAAAAATAACACGTGCTTGATCAAGCTGTTGGCCGTCTACAAGCTTCATAAGAACTACCATACCCTGATGGATAAAATGGCAGAGAAGCCGTCATAAACATTAGTTAACTTTACAAATTAAAAATGTTTAATTAATAATTTTAATTTATAAGATTAACTGGCGCTTATGAAAGCAGGTCTAAAAGCATTAAAATAAAAAGTATATTTCATGTATTCTTGGAGATAAAATAAGAACAAAGATTTTGATTTTCTTTTATTAGTTTCATTCCATTTGCCCGTTCATTTGAGTGGCGTGTTACGCTTAGATAGAATACAATATCTTGACCCTAAAAATAAAAGAAACTACTTTTTTTACACATACTGAATACATACAATCACAAAAAAATACAAATACGAACAAACTTTTATATATCAATTTCTAAATTAATTTATTTAGGAATTGTATTTAAGTACTTTATGTATACTGTATGTACACATAATATACTGAATCTATTAGGTTGTCAGAAAACAGTGATAACACTGTGTTAAAACTACATAGTAATTATAATTTAGGACTACTAAAATCATTATTATTATTTACTGTTACAATGGTGTTTTATTAGGAATAACGTTCATAGTTTGCATTATGTATGAACCATGTGAAGGGTATAAGGCAATGAACAGGGAATATTACAGTTTTTGTTTTCTTTCGTTTTGTACTAATATCTATATTAATGGTGGCTAATTATTTATCTACGGGCGAAACGAAAGGAACTGGGAATATCCATGACATTCTGGTATACTTTAATAATAAAAAATTGGTTTTGTTTGCTTATTTGCAACATAACATTTGATAACTTCTAAACAATAAATTGCGATTTTCTTGTAATACATTAATCAGGTCATTCCCGGTTCTGTCTGTATGCTATATATATATATATGACAGTGGCAGATACAAACTAAATTTCGGAACTACAGTTATCAGTGTTTCATACATATTAAACATTTAAATATTTTAACAGCGTTATGTAAATAGCCCTAATATGAACTACATATTTCTATTTATAGATATGGCGCTGTAAATTTATTTGTATTTTCTTCTTTCAGAGCGTTGTGTTAGATATATTACAGTTTTTTCATGTAGCGGTATACAATAAAAATAATCTAAGAATAAACAGGACTTTATTAACTATGTTTATTGTATCCAAGTAGCAACGACAATAGCTATTTGTTAAAGGCGACAATTTATACAAAACTGAATGTTGTATGTATTTTATATGAATTGAAACAAAACATTTGGACAAAATTTTGGATGTTTCAAGACGGTTAATGTAATGTGTACATTTTATTCTACATATACCCTGCATAAGGGATTGCAGCTAGTTTCTTAGCAAGTTAGTTATGTTTTTACCACTTTCTATTATACAAAATAGTAAGAAAAGAACAACCGAGTACCACAGAGTACAATAGCTAAAACAGGTTTATAAGACAGCGTTTTACCTCCATATTCATAAAAATAAGCATGTAGTTAAAATAGATTTGTAGAAAGTATTATATTTTATCAACATGGGGTTTTATGGATAAGGAAGTAATGGAATGATACCTAATTAATAACAGCGAGAGAAATTACCATAATTTTGAACCTAACTCCTAGCTGTTCTTCGTATTACAATCAAGCTTACAATTGTAATTACAATTAATTACTTGTTTTTTAATATACGCATTTTTTTTTGTAAACTCTTTGATTTCTCCTCTTCATTAAATTCTCTGTTTCTTAATACAGTATACCTTTTAATACAAATACGAAAAGTAGATATTATTAAATGTTTTTTATTTTCATCATAATGTTCTGGACATTTTAATAAAAAATTAAAGTCCACTTGAGAAAGAGCAGATATTACATTATTTTTTAATCCCTTTTTCCAACCATCCTCATTTAATATTTTATTCACTGCTGAAGCGCATACCTCTATACATTGCACAAATTGTATATTTACATATGTAAGACTTCTGTCCATTTCATTATATTCCCTAAAATCTGTAAATAAATTAATATTAATATCGTCCGTGGATTCCGATGATAAAAATATTTGTTTACAGCATATACATTTGTGTTTATTTTTTTTAAAAATTAATCCACAGACATACGCACATGCTTGCGCTTCAGCAGATGCCTGCTCAATTGCTTCGGTTGCATCAGCAATTAATGGTTCAAAATCCACTGTGGAACTCTCACCTGTGGATATGTTATCAGGTTGTTTATCAGTAGGGAATAAAAAAATTTTTAAATTATCATTAAGAATGAATTCATCATCTTCGCAATTTCGTTTTAAGCCAGAATGGCGTAAATTATTTATAATAGCTGTTTTTGCTCCCGCGATGAATTGTCCAGTACTTGGGTTATCGTTAGATCCACAGTGGTATCTGATGCAACCGAAACAATTTTCAAGTGGATCTTGGTTTAAACGGCGTGTCGAAAGAGTATTCACTCCTAAGTCCTGTAAATTTTTCCACAATCTTTCTACCGCGTTTATAGTTCGAATCCACCCAACCTGTGATGGTGGGGGTGAATTCGAACCAATAAACTTCATTTCGAAATGAATTTTCTCATATTCCTAAATAATTGAAGGTGAGATGACCGTGGTGTCATATTGGTTGAAAATTTTTGCCGCCACGTAAGTCAGGAGTATCGGCATTAACGGCATCAAACAGTTGGTCAAAATTAATTAATAATGCCGCTGTAGCTGACGCCTCTGAAGGGAGTTCATCTGAAAAAATTATATAATAATTATATTCAACATTTTCAGTTAATATACTAATGGAAACCTTTAAAAGAAACCTTTGCAGTGAAAACTAAGACAACACAAATATTGTCAAAGATGTGTAAGATATGAAATGTAGAGTTATTACAAAGAAAAAGAACTGATAAGAAACTCAATTGAATTACTTATTTGTTTTTTAAAAGCCAGTTTATTTACAATGTATATTAATATAGGTGTCTATGTCTATTCGTCATTAAATGAAATTTCAGTGTGTGAACAACTATTGCCATTCACACTCGTCATTCAAGTAATCGTTTAGTGAGTAATAGGCTTTGCTCAGTAAATATTAATAATAGCAAAAAACATCCAGACCAACACAAACAATCATACTCATGTATACAAATGTTTGTACCATGTGAGGGATCAAACCTGCTACCATTGGAAGTAAAGAGCTATGTTACAGCTAGAGCACTTCAGGCTATCAAAATAGATTAAAAAATACTTACTTGTTGCAATTTTATGCAATATTCCAGCTGTAACTTTATGGCTGAACACTTGCACAGCCAGTTTGACACGCATTTTTTGTTTACTATTAGGGTTCAAATGGTGTTCCGTCAATGCAGGTGCAAAAACAAAATTAGGATTGTTTTTATCCAGTTCATAAAATTTTTGCACATGTGACCACTTCGCCACACCTGTTGTGATAAAGTTTTGTTAGAACATCACAACAATAATAATATTATACTAGTTAGAATACATAAATAACTTTATTAAATTATCTTTTATTTTGCTTAACCACTTTTCATAATGAATCAGAAACTCAAAATAGTATTTGAAGGGTTAATGCATGTATTACAGATAATGATAATACTACAACATAGTAAACTACTTTTATGTATGCTAGACATAATATAATTATATATCTTTAATAGTTAGTTATTGTTTAAATGACTCTTCTGTTACATTATTATTATACTATATTTAATATTATTTACATACCTCTAGCAGTTTGACCATCAATATTATTTATGTTTGTTATTAAACATTCAATATCATGTTTTAAAAACATATTTCTCGTGCATTTGATGAGGTGCGGCGGGTCTAATATTGTGACAACTTCATGTCCATCATGCACAAAATAAGGATTCTCTTTTGTGGAACCAAGGATATCAAGAGCCTTTATGTTGACTCTTGATAAGTCGCATACTGTCGCCACTACAACTAAACCTGTCTTCCAACATTCATGTAATATCTGAAAAGTAATAATATATTAAAAATACAATAATATTTACTATACATAATATAAGAAATTGATTAAAAGAATATTGTATGTAATATTAAAAAAAAAACATACTTCTTTAATTATGACTGATAATCTGTCTGAGGTTACAGACTTCCCAGAAAAATAAAATGATACTGGTTGCTTCCATTTTTTTCTTAAACCTGTCAACATGAACATTAAGGCATTACAAGCTATTTGATTTGTTCTGTTATGACTACCATGATCTTGGAATCCTTCAATAATATCTGTCTTCTCATTATAATACAGATGTTTTTTTATCGTCATTTCATCAAATACTAGAATACAAAGATTCTCATCCTCCAATTGGCCTTCAGCCATTCTCTTCAAACTTTCGAATACTTGTTTGTTAATGCCTGTTTTTAATGGTATTTTATTCAGCATCTTTTTTAATGTACTCTGACAGGGTAACGCAAACATTCTTCGTAAAAGTCTGTAGCATGCAGGTGACTTTTTGTACAATGTTAAAGCCATAATTTTTTGATCAACATTATATCGTCGACCTTTTAACTGTCTTTTACAATTTTGCAACTGGTTTTGCAACAATACTATAAATGTATTACTCAACTTCAAATCAGTCAATTTTTGAACATTTTCATTCTCACATATTTTTTCTAATTTGGCAGCTTTCTTTTTAGATTTTAAACTTTTGCGTAATCTACTTATCTCCTTAAAACTCTGACTGCAAATTTTATACAGTTTTTTCTCTCTAGCACTTAATTCAACAAACTTCTTAACATTTATATTTTTTAAAATTCCTGTGGATATTTTTTTGGTTTTAGATTTTGATAGATTAGTTACACAGGATGGTCCTGGTTGTGGACTTATTTCGCAAGTTACTTGTGCTACAGTTTCAATATTTAGTGCAACTTGATGAGAGCTATCTACTGCAACATTATCTTCAGTAGGCACTGAATACCTTCCTAATTGCTTTTTTGTAGTGTCGGTAAAACAAAAATCCTTGAAGTGTCTTTTACATAACACTTTATTGCTTTTAAAAAGTTTGGATAAATCATCCAGTGACGTCCAGTCTTGGTCTGGCCAACAAAAGTTAGCCCAAGCTCTTGCCCTGTAAAACAGTAATAATAATATAAATATTTTTATTTACAATTATATGTTTACTTTTTCTATCAAGTTTACATATGTTAGTTAATTTATTTGAACAAATTTAATCATTTAATAGAATAACCAAAATATTCAATGGTATTAGATTTTTTATTGTTACTGCTTTTATGATAACTATAAATTTTGGTTCTGGCCATTAACAGTTTTATCACTAAATTAAAATAATAAACTAATATAGAAAAATCTTTATGATAATTATTAGGAATTTTAATTTCAGTTTGTTAATATATCTTTTGAAAATATACTAATGTGTTTCATTAGCAAACTTAGTCATTTCTCCCTAAAACATGTCATTTAGGTTTCTATGTGAACAATTCAATTTCTTTTTATTAAAATTTTATGTATGTTACATAAGGGGAGGTGTGGGGGGGAGGGCGGCTTAAGAATTTTAGAAATGCAAATGTGGACATGGCACAAAAACGGTTGATTAAATTATTACTATATAGATATTACAATGGTATAACATACCCGGTAAATCATATCCAATTCGACTGTGAGGTGGAAAAATCAAATGTATGTATGTATAATAAAAGTTTACTATCATTTGGAATAATATTATAGTATAATTACATTATACTATAATATTATTGAAAATACTACCTGTACCCGTGGTTTTACCCGCTTGTTCTGATACATAGGTATATTATTGTAAAGTTTTATCAAAATCCGTTCAGTAGTTTTTGCGTGAAAAAGTAACAAACATCCATCCATCCATCTATCCATCCACACAAACAAATTTTCATGTTTATAATATTAATACGATAATAAGATGTGAAAGTCACCATACCGTCCGACATTTGTTATTCCAGGTTTAGGAAACCGGTGGAATGATAGTGCCCCATCCTGAATAGCAGTTATTCCACATTTAGCACACTTTCTATATGCATCCGTAGACATAGTTGATTATACCCAATATCCACAATATGAATAAATACAAGTCGTTGCAGCGAATCAATTCTAGCATACAAACAACTGCTATAATATTCAAAACATAAACACAAGAGCTAATTTATTCAACACAAGAAACAAGAAAAGAAACAATTTAAAAACTTTCGAAATGTAACGAACTTTCTAAAATGTGTTTTTTTAAATTAATATTACAACTTTGACTTTGACACTTCCATCGAAGCAAATAATCACTACGTTTGAACATGCTATTTTTGTTTATTACAAAAATAGCATGTTCATAACGTAGTGATTTCAGTAGTAAAAGTAAGTAAACAACATTTCAGTAGGTAATATAAGTTTCTTTGCTAATAAAGCATTTAGCGTGTAATCATTGCAAAATATATGCAAAAGTATGCAGTATTTTCTTTTTTTTCTAATAAATTAAAATTTAAAATATAGTAAATTGAAAAAAGTTATTTTTGATTATTAATTATTCCATTTCGCAAGTATTTTTGAAAATAACTTCAATAATCTACTAAAATAAACAACTTATTACGAAAGCGAAACCACAACGTAATGATACGCGTGGGTAAATGGAAATAATTTATTATATAAAAAACTGGTTCGCTGAGAGCTACTTCCTATCTTCATATTATATTTTTATCTCATAAGTTATTTAATGAAATTACATTATTTTGTGGAATTCCGCTACCATACAAATCTGAATTATATAAATCCATAAAGTAATGAAACGGACTTCAGCAAAATAACACCTAGTTCTATAAAGCAGTATACCATCGAATCCGAAATGGGTTCTAAAAAGCAAGAACCCATGAATATTTTTTTTTATAAACTGTCGTTCAATGTTATACTCTGTTAACATTCATTCATTGTCATTCATTGAATGTTGTTGATATTATTGCAAGAACTCAAGAGAAAACAGCACAGTTTTGTCATATTAGATGTAATTTTGTTCAACCGATCTACAATCATGATAAATGGTTTAAATAATGATTATATAAATAAATTATTATAGTTTAGTCACATTATTATTTAAATGTTAATTTAATTAGTTTAAGTATATTATACGTACATTACCCATGAAATTATTTCTTTTTTTTATTATAGCAATAGTTAATATTCCGCAACTCACACATAAGCAATTGTTCATTGTCAAAAACATCTGTATGAAAGACAAACACCCCTGGTGTGTATTAAGTGCGAACACAGCCAACATGAGAAAAATTTTTGTCAGAAATGACAGATATCTCAGATTTCAGTTATTGACAATGACATCAACGAATACAAGACTATATGCACTCTACTAAACTATTGGTTACCTTATCTAATAGCTGCCTTTACACGACACTTTTACGCTGGCGTGCGAATTTTTTGTGTAAATTAGTTTTCATTTCTGAAAAAAACATGGCTAAAAACCTACATCCCAGTCTTATTGGTCTGTGGTGGTCTGTGGCCGACCAGAAATAAAATCTGTGAAATGGTGTGAATTATGAATGAAAGTTTACTTTATTTGAGGTTGTAAATAAATAGAAATTCTTATCTTGTACCTTGAAACTAGTAAATAACACAAAATAGTATATATAGTGATGGTGCTTAATGTAAAGTACAAAATAAAATTCATTTATACGATATTTGTGTGAAAAAGAATTCAAATGGATAACGTCATCGAGAAATTAAATCATTATTTTGGCCATCGCAAATTTAAAAGTGAACTCCAGGAACAGGCTGTTAGAGCGATTGCTAGAGGTAAAATTATTTATATTAAACACAAAAGACTGTACTTGCTCTTGAAGTATATAATGTTTTCAATGTAATATATTTTAATAATATTTATAAATATTTTTTCTGTATATTTACCCCGTAAGAAATAGATTAGATTAAACATATCTATCAAAGATTATTTTATTCAAAAATACAATCCAATAAAGAAGTAATCAAGTAACACGTTTAAAATAATAATATGTTGTGAATTTCATATGAATTTATTAAAAATGTTTATAACAATATTTCATAATGATATAAAAAATAATGAGATTACGATAGAAACATTCTAAGGTAGAACTAGAATTTTCCTGACAAGACCATATACATATTACACTTGTACATTATTTCTGAAAGCTTTATATAAAGTTTAGACTTGGAAAATTATAAATTTGTCCTAACCTCATACTAAATGATAAAAAAAAATGATACCCACATATAAATAAAATGATAATGGTGTATAGAAGATCAAAAATCTCCTACTCATAAATGGATTCACATATAGTTAACAACCACAGTGGATCATCTCACATATTTCTATTCTAGACTGTTTGTTGTATCTTATACACAAATTTTACATTATCTTAACAGAAATAATATTTGGGTGTTCAGTATTGTGTAGGTGTATGTATAGTTATTAAAAAAATATATGGTTGTCATTTTAAAATTGATTTTTTTGATTGAATATATGTATTTAAAACAATGCCATTTGTATGTTTCTAGTTTAATACTCTATAAATTACTACAACAACTACTAGATATAATACTATACTATAAATATAAAAATGTGTACAGAAACTACAAAAAAAGCTTTAAAACTAATCATCTAAAATAACAAAATTAAACACAAAAAAGTTTTAGAATTAGTACAGTACTTACTTGCTCCTGAAGTGTATAATGTTTTGAATGTAATATTTTTGAATGATTGTATCCAAGATTATTTTTTTTATAATTTTCTGTGCAGGTGTCCATGATGTGTATGTATCAATGCCTACAGGTTCAGGTAAATCCTTATGCTTCCAATTACCTGCAATGTTGCAAGATAACAAAGTTGCAATTGTCTTTTCACCATTGCTGGCATTGATAAAAGACCAAATTGACCATTTGACAAAACTAAAGATTTCAGCTGAATCAATAAATTCAAAAATGACTTCTAAGGATAGAGAACGTGTTTTAAATGATCTAAGAAATATGAAACCTAATACCAAATTCCTTTATGTGACACCTGAACAAGCTGCAACTGGAACTTTTAAATGTCTCATTGAACATTTAGTCAAATACAAAAAAGTTTCCTATATAGTAGTAGATGAAGCTCACTGTGTAAGCGAGTGGGGCCATGATTTCCGTCCTGACTACTTGAAACTAGGCGATCTAAGAGAGAAATATAAAAGCATACCATGGGTAGCTCTTACTGCAACAGCTAGTGCAGAGGTTGCTAAAGATATACTATCAAACCTTAAGTTATTACAACCTGTGGCAAAATACAAAACACCTAGTTTTAGAAAGAATATTTTTTATGATATTATATATCAGAATTGTATAGATGATGAAATATCACATCTTTTAGAATTTTTAAAAAAAAGTTTGGGTGAAGATGAGAATGTTAAACCTGTAAGTAATTTTTTTTCTGTTTCAATAAAGAGATTAAGCTTGAGTATTTGTTTTTTTCAAATAACTTGATAATTGTGAGCTAGTACTAATAGTGGTAGTCAATTTGCTATTATTATTATCTAGTAAATAAATAAAGACATGTCATGTTCCAGAAAGATAAAAGTGCAGCTATTGTCTACTGTCGAACAAGAGATCAGACTGAAGAGTTGGCAAATATGCTTATGAAGAAGGGTTTAAATTCATTGGCTTACCATGGAGGTAATTTTTTGTCATAATAAATCATTAATCATTTGTAAAGGTGTATATATATATATATATATATATATTGTTTTTCATAATGGAATATTAATATTGAAAATATTATGGACAGGTGCAGTTTAATTTACTTTTTTCATTCAGTTTTATTCAATATATTGTTAAGAATTACAGTTGAAAAAGTGATAAGTTCTTACCATTGTTATAAGTCAAATGCTTGACGATCTTACAGCCATTAGGTTACAAACACTAAGAAAATAATATTTTAGAAAAATGTGAGATAATGTCAATTTCACAGGCATGAAATCATCAGAACGTATATCCGTTCAGGAGCAGTGGTCGCGTGGCGAGATTGCTTGTGTATGCGCAACTATATCATTTGGTATGGGAGTGGATAAAGCAAGCGTGAGGGCTGTCGCCCATTGGGGCATTGCCCAAAACGTTGCAGCATATTATCAGGTAAATATCATGAATATGAAATCATCATTTAATATTTTTGAAATTTAGCTTTAAAGATAAACTATACATTTTCATCATTTGTAATTTGTGAGTTAGTTCCCTATTGTACGATGGAGCGATTTATTTCCATCGAGCCAAAGGTTTTTTGTCCATTATTTCCTCCCGATCGAAAACTTCTAGCTTAGTGAAAGTCCACTATGGTTCAGAGGGTGGGTTGCGGTGTAGTATTCTCACAAACATGTAAAAAAAAGTCTTTTCCTCTCTATAGTAGGTAAATATTATTCTCTAGGAATCTGGACGAGCTGGACGAGATGGGAAACCTGCATTCTGTCGCATCTATTATTGTCTAAGGGAGCGTAATGCTGTTGATTTTTTGCTTAAAACTGAATTGGCCCGAGCGAAAACACCAGAACAGAAACAGCGATGTAAAAATGCATATAAAAGTTTCGAAATAATGGTGAAGTACTGCGAGGATGTTAAGTAAGTATAATTTATTTTTTCATATTACTAACTTAGGTGCCATAGTAGAGTCGGGGTGATACACGGTATCGGCGTTGGTTTGCATCTGCTAGGGTGGCAAGGGATGAGTGGTGAGAAAGCTAACCTGCTACCATTGGAGGTAAAGTGGTGTGCTAAACCGCTAGATGGCCTCTGCCATCATTTCAATTGACCGCTATGATTTCTAGAGCGGACCGCGTAGGGCTAAATTAACGTATTGTATTGCTAGCGATAGGCCCCATAGTCCCTATTTGTCCTATTACTAACAATCCCCTGCGCTACTGATGCTTATTGCGATAGATGCCGACATAAGACTTTCGCGGAGTACTTCGGCGAGGAACCACCGGCGTGCCGTGCGCGCTGCGACGCGTGCGCGGACGAGCGCGGAGTGCGGCGCGCGCTCGACCAGCACCAGCGCCGCGCCATGTCCTCGCACCTCGAGCGCGGCGGCTTCGTCTCGCACCAGGACGCCACCGACCTGTACGGCGGCGGCCGCGCCTCACACAACACGTAAGTACTTTTCCATCTTATCTTCATCGGTTGCAGGTGTGATTATTCTCGGACGTAGAGAAAAGTGAATACAGCCCACTTCCTATGTCAAAGGAAAAGTTTTATTTCCAAAGGATGATATGTACTACTATTAGAATTGATATTCCAATAATATGATTGAATTTAATTCAATAGAGAAACTGAATCATACTATGGCGTCGATAGCGGCGAGTCAGATGGAGAGAGCCGGCGTCGAGTTGCGCAGGAGACTAAATCACTTATAATGAAGGAGTTTGCTAACAGAAAAAAGAGCATTGAAAATGGAAAGGATAAACGATGTAATGATACAGAATCAGCCAAATATTCTAAGTGTAAAGCAGCAAGTAGTACAGGAACGAAGGTAATATTTTAATATCTAGATGTTTATCGTATACCTTATGGGGTAGACAGAGAATAATAAGACCGCTACCATAGTCAATCAGTTGACAAGTTGCCCTAGTGTAATGGTGCATTTGTTTACTACTCTCCGCATCATTGGAAATGCGCCAATCAGACGTATCGGAACGTTAGCCACATTTGGGCAACCTAATCAATGTCCGTACGGTATGTCATCGGCTTATGTGTAGTCAACAATTGACTCATGATTGACAACAATGGTGATAATATGTATGTTAGGAATTTAAAAGAACAAATTTTTTATATTGTACTTCTGGTTGTCATATTGAGTTTTCTTTGTAGTGTTCTACATTCTCTGTAGCTATTTTTGATATGTAAATTGATTTCTTCAGGTAAATGGATTAACTGTGGCAGGGCGCGAAGGTTATCTGTCTCTTCTAACTGATGCTTTAAATAATAATTTACAAAACATGGAAAACATAGATGTTCCTAACAATCGCTTAATGCGGCATGACGTGGAACAGTGCGCTGTACAATTGGAATATGAAATATTTTCTACAACTACAGTTATTACTCTCTACAGACGCTCAATGTCCAAATTGGTAAGAATATGTATTGGTATAAATAATTGTAATTAAAATTAAGACATATGTATAAAAACTATTTTACTTACGTAACATTGAAACAGATGTAATATATCTTATATCATTGAAATAAGAATATATAGGTACATATTAAATAAACTAAACTAACCAAACACTAATTTTTTCGACTCTTGTTATTGAATGTTTTCTTTTAAATGAATTTCTTTTGAGTAGTGTTATGTTCCAAAGCCTAATTGCAGTAACTGTCAATGAGTCAATGAATTAATATATATAATATGTAATAACCAAAGTTAAAACTGGAACTTGCCTTTAAGCGAAAAGCCAAATAAGAGAAAAAGAGTTATAACCTTGTGTGTACAGAATACTTAGCCTCTGAAGTAACGAATTGACAACCATTTAATTAGAAAGTAATAAAAAATGTACACAATAATTACAGTTGTGAAAAGACAGTCTAATTTGTTTAGATGCTGTTCCAAGATGCCTAAAAGATACTTCGATGTAATCAGAACGCGGATATTTGTAGAACAGAAATTACAACGATAAAGAACTTATGTTAGCAGAGGTAATGAGTAACGCAGCCTGATCATAAAAGAAAATTGCTTTATTTTTCAGATTTCATCAATAAAATCGTCTACACATCATCTTTTTCCGCAATTAAAAATGTTTGTGCCTAGTAAACGAAATACGCTTAGCGAATTCGTAGAAGAATTTGAATCAGAAAAAAAAACAAAACCTAAAGATTTTGTTGCAGCATCACAACTAGAAGCTGGTATGTATACGATTTCATCTATTAGTAAAATTATTTTATAATTGTTCAACTAATATTGAATATTTATTTTATAAAACTATATTGGTCTATATTTTAGCAAATATTGATGGTAAAAATGAAGCAAGACCTTTGTCAAAGGCAGATAAAGAAACAAAACGGAAAGCGAATTCTTTTAAAAGAGATCCTTTACAGCAAACAAAATTACAAAATTTTTTTAAAAAAAAATCTAATGAATATCCTAGTTCTACTACAGAAGAAAGTGAAGAAGAATCTAGTCTGGTTATAGACTTGGATACCGAAAATAAACACGATAATACTACATTAAAATTAGATGATACCATGAATTCGGACAAGAATCACAATAATACAACATTAAAATTATATGATACAAGTACTACAAAAGAAAATGAAGGAAAAACTTTTGTTATAAATATTACTCTACAAGGTGTACCTAGCATCAACAAGAATAAGGAAATTGATACAGAAAAAATGTTAAAATCGCCTAGAAATATAAATTCCACAGCTAAGAGAAAAATTAAAGCACTTTTTGGCGATTCATCTGAGAGTGATATTGAAACAGAAGAACAAAATGTATTGACAATCAATGAACATAGGCATAAAGTAGCTAACAAACATAATAATAAAATCAGTGCGAATTCACATCACAAGCGACATAAGAGTGATAAACACGATAATAGGAAAAAGGTAAATATTCAAGTTGAAAAGGAAACAAAAAATATAAAGCAAAAAGAGACTTCTCCATTATACAGAATAAAGACAGAAACAGAGACTGAAAAGAAATCAATAAATATAATGCAAAAGAAGCCCTCTTCGAAATATGAAAGCGAACAAGAAAATATTAAAACAGAAAAGGAAACAAAAGATTTAATGCAAAAGAAAACTTCTCCTTCATCATTATTTGGTGATTTATCGGGCAGTGAATCTGATAGTCAGTTAGTTATTGATGAAGGTATATTACAAACCAATGATTTGATCGACGATAATTCAATAAATGAACCTTCTTTAAAGATACCTGAAGAAAAGGATCAGAAATTCGAAGAGGCTTATAAATTAAGTGCTGAAGCTGATAAGGTACTAGAAACTTTGAAGCAATTTTCTGAAACTCCTAAAATGGATCAATGTAACAATATAAACTCAATTATAGCAAATGACAATAATTTAGAGTTGAAGAATGAAAACTATGAAAAACCACAGATAGCCGTTTGCAAAAATGCAGAGAATGTATGTCAGAATTCAAAACAATTGTCTAAAGCGGAGTCTATATCTGAGAGTAACATTGATGTAAATAACAAAGTTGTTACAATAGTATCACCACAATTATCTAGAGAGCATAAAGTATCTAAACATAGAAGTAATTTAAGCCTGACCAAAATAGTTAGAGAGAGACATTCATCGAAAAGAAACGAGAAATGTAGTAATAAAATTAAACCTGAGCGTAAGGCATCAAAACAGAAAAAAGGTTCATCAATAAAGAAAGCAGAGAAAGTTGATCTTGCAGGGTTAGTGGTGAAACTTCTTATGCCATACTATAAGAAGAAAAAGATAAGTAGTAGAGATCTGTTTAAAATAACAGCTCGCCATATAGTTCATCAACTATTGGCTATACAAGTTACTGGTTAGTATATTCAGTTAGATAATGTGAAGTTTTTTCGATTACTTTTGTTTGTAATGTCACAACATGAGTCATTCTGGTGTTATATAGACATTACATTATTGGGCTCATTAGAGTATCATGTATTCCGAAGGACTAACATCTCATGCCTCCATATCATGTAATTTTACGCTTTATCTCACCCTTGAACTGAAACACATTGTACAAAGAAAGCTGCTTGGCTGACATAGGTACCTATGCAGATGACTAGGTACAATGTCTTCTAGCCTTAGTTGATTAATGACAGAGTCGAAGTTGAATCAAATCGAAATTACAAATTACAAAATTACAAAAGTATCATTGGCAGAAAACCAATTAGTATATACTATGTAGCGCTTGTATAATTACAGCAGACCTGATGATTGTCGTGAACCTATTAAAACATTGAGACCAATACAAATATGCGTAATATTACTTTTGACATGAGCGTTATATGGATGGGAATAAAACATTTAGTTAGTGCTGTTTTATGGTGTTTATATTTTTTTGAGGTCTATTTCACAAACATATAATTTAATTATTTAACTTTAATCTCTAATTATATTATATAGTAAAATTTTACTAATTATATATTTGGACTAAATTATATTTTTTATTTCAATTCAAACACCATGTGCCTATCGCCTTCTAAATTAAACTATCATTTTCCAGAAGAAGCTGCTATAGATATTTTACTGAAAAAGGCATTCAGTAAAGAATTGAAAATTGAGAAAGAAGACGACTTAGCAGTTAAATTAGATTTAAGCAAGTGATACTAATATATAATGAATTATTTATTAAATGGCAAGTTCTAATGCCTAAAGATAATGTAAGTTTGTTAATTGCTTATAATTTTGTTTTATATTTTGATGTCACTTTTCATTTATGGTTTGATGGATTAAATCGAATACAAGAAATACATGTGAGAGTGTTTTACTAGTTGCATATATCTGTAAAATCAATATAGACTAATTATTAGACTGTCAATATGAAACAAAAAACAGTTAAACCAATTTGAAAACAGTTTTTATACATATCATTAACAAAATCGTAATTTTAGATCTCGTATCGTATCTAACCTACTTTTTGTTATGTTTATTATTGTTAGAATTTATCGTTGTTGTTCTCATTTGTATGGAAAAAGACATATTTTCTCGTTACGATTACGATCAAGTTGATTTCAATCATACTCATCGAATCGAGATTTCGAGACCATCTAATGCAAGGTGGTGCAGTGAGAAAAGAATAATTAATTAAAATACCCCAAGTAAATAATTAGCAACGTTAATATTCTAAATAAGGGTTGAAATGAAAAATATTTAAATTTATTTAAATATATATTTACTTTATAGAAGTATTTTGCAATTTCTCTAGAAATACCTATCTTTAAATATAGACTCAGATTAGTTTAGAAATATTACAATACTGAGCGTATTAATTAAATTTGTTTCGAGAATGGTCTCGTGACTTGACTATTATTGCACGTAGTAATACTTCTCCGGCGTGTCGGCTCGCTGCTAGATACGTAGCGCCCGTTTCTTGGGCGGTCGTGGGGTGTAGGTGACGGGGCGAGGGCGTCGCCGCGGGGCGCGGGGGGTGTCTGGCTCAGGAGGTGCCGATGACGTCACCAGGTTACGCATATTGCCGAACGAAGGTTCCAGGCCGATCGTCCCTTGGAACTGCTGCACGCGCTCCACCAGCTCCTCGTCGTTCTCTATCAGTTCTTCAATCTGTAGAATGGTGCACTTACTATAATCAGTGGGGATCAATGGCATAGTAGCCATTTTTAGTTCGAAAAACGGATTTAGATGGCGTCATTGGTATCGAATGGAATTCAACATTGTTTTGTAATCGTTTAAAACCCAAAACTATGTTTTTAAAAAGGTTTAATCTATTTTTAAAAAGTCATATATAGATGTTAAAATGAAATAATGCGTTTTGAAAAGTAATTTTCATATATTTACTCATTTTGTTGTTGCCCTGTATTTGTTTACAATTTAATCATTGCTAATTGGGGCTTATTGTTTCCAAAATACTTTCATAGATGGCGCTGTTTTCATTTGTATCACCGTATTTTAAATGTTTATTTTATATTTTCAAATAATAAGTACTTACTATACTATTATGATAAATTAAACATAAAAAAAGTTTAAGTAAATATAAAACAGCTAAACAAGAAAACCATATTATTCCAGTAATACTTATTTAGAAAGTGTTGCCATATTAAAAATAAATGCATAGATTTATCGATTTTTTCGAATAATCGATAACAGGATATTACAACGCATTATTCGATGGTGCTTTTAATTAGTCTTTGCAAACAGTAAAATTTCATCATTTTGTATTATACTCTTATTTGGAACGAATTGCAATGCATAATTTTTACTTGACGACGGCAAAATAGAGAGATTTTGACAGGTATGCAAGTACTATATATTTATCTGTTCGCTCATAACTTCGAAACTTGAAGAGGGAAATATTAATTAGATTGATCTGATACAAGTGTACTCTATTATATCAACCTCCACGCGGTCACCCTGGTAATTATAGCAATTAATGACATAAGTGACATAGTTCTTCTATTAAAAAAAATAAATACCTACTTATTGTAATTTAATGAACGAGAATTGAATGTGGTATAGAGTATATAAGGTCAGCTATACCTTTATGAAACCTCAATAAACAAGTGTTATATGGTATCTAAATTACTGACATTGATAGCTAAATATGAGGATCCTCGAATTTTTAAAAATACTCATAAGAAACTTTACAAATACTCGAATTTTGCTTTTGTAGAAGGATATTTTCAACCTTACTAAATTGTACAAGGTTTTGAAACGATAATCATTCATAATACTATGATATATTACTGATCCTAGTACCTACTATTCATGATAATTAGTTTTTTAATATCTCCATTCAAGGGTAGGTTATTAATAATTTATATTATTAGATTTCATCACAAATAAAAATATCGATTTAAAATCGTAGGTTGGTCCATATTTTTTTATTATATCGAAATGACAACGAGTACTGGCAACATAAATGAAATGTTAAATATATAAAATATAGGAATAAAAGAATAGGATAAACGACTTTAAGTCAAATACTTAAAACATATTTTCACTAGCATTGGATTTTTTCTCTTTTTTCATCATTTAAGTTAAGTAGGTACTTCAACTTTTGAATTGTCCCTGTTCAGAGTTCATTGAACTTCTTATTTTTTGTCAAACTCAATAATTTAAATGTGTCTAAGGACTACTACAAATATTTAGTAAACTATCGTGTCTTTGAGGATTATCTCATACCAGGTATAACTATAAGTTGTTAAAAACTTGCATATGTATGCGTGTGTATCTTTCATATTAAAATATAATAAACATAGGTACTTGGTGACCGCTTTAATGTGGTATTATTATGTTTTTATTATTGCTATGAATGTAACTTCAAAAAACTAACACTGATTTTATAATTTTTGATTGATTGAGAAAATACTGAAAATTATTAATCAAAATAAAGTACTAAACAGTAGTATTATTTTTATATTTTATTAGAACTGAATGAATATGATGTATGAATAATATGTTTATTGTACTAATAAGGTTACAGTTTAGTTACTTTCATGTAAATTCATTCATGTAAGTTCATGAAAATGTAACATGGTATATGATATTGTTTTCAGATTTTCCTGACATCAACAACTTAATACTGAACAAAGTTTAAACAAATAAGAGATGATATTCTAAATCTCCTAGTCATTCAGATGAAGATAAATAACATTTTTACTGTAAAGAACAGGAGTTCAAAAGAATAAGAAATATATATATATATATATATGAACATTTTACTGTATAAAATAATAATGCAAGTAAAAATAAGAGAAAAAAGCAGAAGAAAAATCTGTAAATTATTAATCACAATGCAATTAATAATATAATTAAATAAGTAAGAAAGCAACGGACTAGTGATGAGAAGAAATTCCAAGTAATTATATTATGTGTAACCGACTGCAAATAAGTTTATGATTTAAGCTCATGATTATTATTATATTGCTTCATCAACAAATCCAGGAATATTTTGTGTACCAGGAATTAAATATGAAATGATTTTGATGAAATATTATGTCTTGATATTGATTTATTTGGAATATACTATAAAAATAACAGAAGTGTTTGAAGTTTTAGTGGTATAACAGACAAGCAGTGAAAGAACTATTATTGTAAATTATTAACAATTGTTTATTCTGTGATTAATAAATTATTTAAAAGTGTTTTATTACCTGAAATGAAAATGTTATGATCTTCAAGTGTTGTGTTCATGCAATGTTAGTTTCACCTCATTCGATTTAAAATGTCAGGAATTATTTACTACATAATGATTTTGTATTAGATGGTAATCATATATATTTTTTAATGCAATGTGTATAATAATTCCCATTTACATCAAGAAACTTTGTGTAAATCTATATTTCTCTGTCTATAGACTTTGGTCGTGGAATACTAATAAGAAACAAAATCTAGAGACTAGTATATCACAGCATCCCAGAACCTTGTATTTAAGTCATATAAGGACTTAGTACCTACCTAATACTTGCTACTTTTTTAATCAATTAATTAATTTGATCTCAATCATCATGATGAACAATGATGATAATGTTGAGAATGCTGCCAATGATGAATTTTATGGTGGTCATAAATAAATACCACCGTCACTATCGTCAACAGTCATTATTGATCTCATCATCATCACCGTTACCCTCCTTCATCCATATTGTCAAAAGTTACTACCTACTATTATTAACTGAAATGGTAAATAAGCTGACGATCCATCCAACCACGACGCTATCCGCCGTACATACATACACATATATTATTAAACAGCATTACGTCATCATGTCGTGCCCGCTATATCCCGCATACGTTATCATTCCGGAGAACATAGATGTTATGTCCAAATATCCTGTAATTTCGCAGCTTAATTTCAACTGAATAACAACTTACATAAATACCAAAAAACTAGCAGTAAAGGCGTAGTTTGTAGATATCGAAGGTTCTACAAATAGGTATAACATCAAAATAAGTACCTACATGTCATTAGCACCGATGTAGTATCCCTGAAAGAACCTACATATAACAGATTGATGTTTTGCAGATATTATTTTCAGTTTTACAAATTGCCAGTTTACCATAATTAACTACATATTGAGAAATAATTATACACTGAAAATTATATGAGGTACCCATATGCACATCAATTGATTATAGCTAAAATCTATCACTATCACATAACAATTTAAATAAAAAAAACCGTATTAAAATCGGGCTATTCGTTAAGGAGCTATTGCTCCTTAACCGATAGCCCGATTTTAGTGCAGACGCGTTACGACATATCTTCGTCGGGAGAAAAAAAGTAGGCATGTAAAAAAGTAACTGTAACATAGTACATAGATACATAGATACATAGGTAGCCGTGTCTGTAGACTGTCAGCGAACAATATTATACCTACATTGAATTTTCGATTGTACCCAATCAGGAGTTCGATACAGTTATATATCTATTATGTACGTATCTTTGCAAAACAGATGTCATGTAGACCGAATTCTCTGCCATCTATTTTCATGCTTTGTTACTAAGCACCCACTAGTAATCCAAACTGCTTCAGATATAGCGACATCTAGCGCCTACGGCGGCGAAATAAAATAGCCCGAAGAATAGCCCGAGTTAGGAAGGAACCATTTTCTTGTATGGGATGGGGTATCTGTATGTAATATTATATTATCTGTGCTATAATTGTATTTTGAAAGTAACATTTATTAATTTAATACATACTTTAAACAGAGTATTAAATTAATAAATTACTTTAACAAAACCAAATTCAGACATGGTAGAGCTTAACATGGGGATTACACAATATAGATAAACAAATGAGAAAAATTTTCAATCCATTTATCACTTTCTTTTACAAAATACTTAAAAATAATGTTGCTACTGTATTATAATAAACTAGCAATACAATATGCATTCCTAGTTTATTATAGGTACACCATTACACATATATTATAACCCATTGATAACAGTTTACTAAAAAAAAACGATAAAAATGCAAATTTGTTTTAAGAAATTGCTGAAAATTTTGAAAATATATTCCCATGGAGAATGTTGCGTTTTATCAGCGACAGGATCTATAATTATTACGGCCGTGCCAAACGAAGACGGGTCTCTAGCATGTATATGTTGTCGCCGTCAGAGCCGGTTAGATTCGATACCTCCAGCACCGGCATAGACGCTTACAAGTATAGTGTACTTTTTAGAGAGGTTCGTTTGAAAATTTCCACAGATTAAAAAAAAAGCATGTATAAGTTACCTCGTGACGGTAGTCGTTGAGCAGGTCAGTGGCGATGCGCACGAGGGACATGATCAGCTGTCCGCCGCGCGGACGCATACGCGCGTACAGCTGCAGAACCGACGGGACCACCACCTCCGCTACCGTGCGTTTCATTTTCTGACCATAGACAATGTTAACAGTAAAAAGGACGACATTGAGATAGAATCTTCTCTTACTAATATTATATACGCGAAAGTTTGTGAGTATGAATGGATGTTTGTTACCCTTTCACGCAAAAACCACTAAACGTATTTTTATGAAACTTTACAGTAATATATAATAGCTTACACATCAGAATAAGGCATAGGGTATAAACCTAGGGCACAGCTAGTGAAACCTATTTACAATTTTTACAACCATATCTACAATTTAAACCATAAATTCCAAATACGTTTTGTTTTTGTTAATAATCAGGTAATTACCATAATAATATTTTATGTTAATTATCAAACAAAGTTTATAAATAGACTTGTTCCTCCTTCTAAATCCTTGAAATGGTATTTGATCAAAAATGTTGAATCAATTTCTGATGGGACGGCTAATAAAATAATGTGACTTAGTTTGTTATTCTTAACAGATTATTTCTAGGAAAACAAGTATAATAGACTTACATGAGATACGATATTAGTAGTGACTCGTTCTTGCAGGTCATCAATATCGGCATCTCCCGTGTTTTGTGGTTTCTCTGTGAATTAAATGTTTACGGTTTTGTTACACTGTGCATTTAATTGTTAAATAATAATTGAAAAGTTAAAGAGTAAAATATAAAATTTATTGGTGACTGGTAAAATGGAATTAATGAAAACACACGGTAAGGTAAGTGTCGAATGTAAACTGTATTTGGTTAGGTCTAATTTATGCATTATGAATAATCTTATTAATGCTCACGGCGAACGAGTGCAATGTGCGTAAACGAAACATGCAAAATGAGCTCTAAACCAAGAATTGCGTAAATAATTCAATTGACATTATGATACATTTTAAATTTACTTTGCATAGATTTACAGGTAAAAATGGACACGCATTCACAATTATAACGCTGTATTCACAGTATTAATTTATTTATACTGTGTACATCATAGTTTAATTTGCGCTCAAAAACAGAATACGCAAGGCGTGTAGTAATTTTTTTTTTTTACTTAAGTTTTTGAAACGTGCTCAATTACCAAATAACAGGACCGATCATCGCAATTTTGTAAGCACTGTGGTATTTATAATATATCGATTATACCCATCACATACAAAAAAAGGATAGGAATGATAATGGAATGGTGCATCCGCCTGCACTAGGAGTATACACTGGCGGGACACCAATGTAGGACGATAATATGAAAAAGAAGAGATGTCAGTCAGCTTATCATGACCAGGTAGTTATCATCCAGTTTTTCACTGCGAACTGCATACTAGTGAAGCGACCAACATTTATTCCTTGGCTAGGGGTGAATGTGAGTACTGACTTGGTAATTTCATCCTGGGCCCGCAGAGCAGCGTGATGGCATCGAGCAGCGCGGCTTCTAGCGCTGGCGGAAGGTCATCGGCCTCGTCCAGCGAGTCGGCCGCGTGCTGCAGCACCTCTCGCGCCAGCCGGCACTGCACGTTCAGTTTCTGCACCAGCGACAGTCGCTGCAGCATCACGTCGTAGATCAGCTGCCGCGCGTCGAACGTGATGCTCTCTGTCCAAATTTATATAAAATGTTTTTGTTGTACGCTATCACTTGACTGACAACTTTTAAGTATAGAAATAGAGGATCATTTCGTATTATAGACACCGATTAAAAATTTAGATAAATTTAATAACTTACCTTTAAAATTTCAACTTGCAAAATGTACAACAAAATGTAAAAGATTTGTTTAAAAGGGCAACAGGCAAGTTTTTTGCTCAATCTACATTCCGAAGGAACACCAGAATAAAAATAGAAACAATCGACTATTCTAAAGTGCTTAATATTAAATTGAATTAATAACGATTATTTCTATTAATTTTTCAATCCAAGTTTTTTTAATTTACGTTTTAAAATTGTTCTGCCCTGATCTACGAAGAAATCCATCAGTTCACTATACGTACAGGTCTAACCTACCATTCCCTTCTTTGTTATAATGCAAGACACAGTCGACGAAGTGGTAGTAGATAGTTTCGGCGGTGAGGCAGCTGGTGACGTAGTACTCCGCCGGCTCACGTACATCGTGGTCGTCGTCCGCCAGTAGTGCGCAATATCTGCACATATTTGACTGATAGCGTCATTGTAGCTTATTAAATTCATTGTACAATCCTTTTTGGAACATGGAACAATATAAGTTTTCATTCAATCAAAGTTTCGCTACTCTTACCTTAAGAATAGTTATCTAGTAGACTGTTCATCATTAATCAAGTCATAATCATTGAATTGTACAAATAAATTTAACTTCTTTAGCAAGCCAACAACAATTTTAATAAACTATCTAAAACTGTCAATTTCCATCTATTTTTTAATAATATTAAATCAGCGAGCAAAAATTTATCTACCATGTATAAGGTAAAGGGCCATATTATGAAACACCTTTTGAGTAGGAGTTGAATATTTTAAACATTGAATTTTTCTAAGTTAACAGTTTGCCTGATATCTACTGAAGTGATAATAATTATTATCAAGTGAGTTTTAGTTGAAAATGCTAATAAATTGAATAAAATAAAAGATAAGGGTGTTCCATCGGGAATGTCCCAAATTATGGAACTCAAAATGAACTGAACTGCTCACATTAAAAACATTTTTCCATTTCCATTTTTTCTTAATTTTAAATTCAAATCAAATATTAATTCATCACCTACATTACGCTTCAAAATATCAGTTAAATTTAGTCAATTTAAATTACTACTTTCATTAATACCTGACTGAGCTTCGGTAACCATTTATACTATAATTTCATACAGTAATTACCTCAGGAATGGCTGCTTTGTTGAGACTGGGTACTGGTATTTATCAGAGGAGAATTTTTATTAGAAGAATGACAATCATTGTTAAGTGTCATGTAATCATTAGTTTTATTATTCGACTTGATTATTAATCAAATTATTTTCTTACTGTTCTAGTCTTTTTCTCTAAAAATTAAAATTTACCAACGTCACTTCTTTGACAGTTGGTTTATTTATTTCATGAAAACCAACCAATATCAAATTATAAAAATTATACCAAACAATCAAGAATAAAAATAACAATATAAAATAAGTCTATAGAATAAAGATATCAAATTCTATAAAAAAAAATGTACCTACAAAAATTATTAAAAACATCTTATTTTAAAAACATCTATAAAAATGTGATATGTAGGTACTTCGTAAATATTTTGAATAAAATAAAGTGCTATTAATTTTTTCTGGCAGGTTTTCTACTTAAGTATATGTTTTAATTAATATAAAACAATATTTATCATCCAGCTTATTCATTTTTGAGGTTAGTTTTTCATTTTCATGGAATTTTCCAATCTATGTACTTATCTAAACGCAAATTTTTAGAAATATAAACTGTTCTAACATGAATTGCTTTGTTATAATTAATTACAATAATAACAATGATTAACACGAAATTAACTAAATATTGTCCACTTGTTGCTGTTTTATAATTACGGACAACTTAGAAAATCGAATGTGAGGGGGACGTGGAACACTGAATATACTGTTCCATAAATACGGTCTGTTTAGAAATTTTTGCGCAATTATGAAACACCTAAATAAAAAATAAATACCTTATTAAAATATTTTAAATTCATTATCAATCAGTAGATTATAAGTCAAACTTTTGATTGACATGTTTCAAGTATTTTTGAATCATTGACAAATATTTCAAATTGTTAAAACAATTGTGATGACACGTGTCATTCTCTAAATCTAAAAGACAGTCTTTCATGCAACCTGACACGGGCATTTCATCTATATTTTTTTCTATACATTTTAAGGTGTTTACAAAAATAAATTAATTTAATCAATAAATAGGTTATTAAAGATCATAAAGATACTATTATAAATACTCAATACGGTAGAAATTATTTGTAATTCAGATTTTTATCACTTGTTTCATAAACTAGTACAATGTTCCATAATATGACCCTTTACCTTATATTTTGTATAAATTATTTATGTTTCTGTACTCTTGTTCTTATTCTAATTTTATATGCGGTGATGTCAAATTTAACACAATTAATCTGTGTCTGTGTCTATGTGTGTTGTTACTTGTGAAGCCTGTCATTGGCTTAGTGTGTTTTTATATTGATTCAACATGTGTATAGTTAGCCTTGGGTTTCCTATCTAATAAAGTTTGTGAGTATGGATGGATGTTTGTTACTCTTTCACATAGGCTATAATTTAAAAAGATATTATGTAAATTGGGCGATATAGAATGATATAGATGAAGTAGCGCGAGTCAGCTAGCTAGTAGTAATAAATAAACTAAAAAGCATAAAAATGCTACAAAATAGTAAGAATTGGAACTAGAAGTAATAACCGATTAATTACCGATAGTAAAGCGGCGTGCGCAGGCGCAGGAACCCGGCCAGCAACAGCCGCGTGAGCGAGCGCGCGGCCGCCCTGCGCAGCGCCGCCGGCGCCTCCGCCGCCACGCACCCGCACACCGTCTCCAGCAGCGGCTCCACGATGCACGTGTATCTGTTACATATATATCGCTGATTAAATGCCAAAGGGCCACAACGCAAAAAAGAAAGCGGAAAGCTGTCTCATCACAAGAAGAATAAGCAAGAAACTTTGCGTGTTGCTCTTTTAAACAATCCTTGTAAGTTCACATTTTACAATTCGAAACGTGTGAATACAAACTACCAACCAGCACTAATTTATTTAGGCTCAAATATAAAAACACAATAAGATTAAATCAGTGATAAGAGCAGACCAGTCCCTACAAGCAGCACTCGTTCACGAGTATGACGGATGAGCCAGCCATCACAGCACTCGACCATATTTTAGGGAGCCCAATGACCCGGCCCACCACGCCGCCACATGCCTGGACATTTTAGTGAGCATGACATGAGTTTATTATATGGTAGTCAGGAACATTTCGCCTCGTTATTAAAAAAAAAGTAGAGGGAGCGGACGTGATGTACCTGGTGCATATGTCTGTGAGGGCGAGTAGCGCGTTGATGCGAGCTGGCAGCGGCGCGGCGGCGTCGGGCAGCAGCGCGGCGAGGCGCGGCGCGACGGCGGTGGCGGCCGTCCGCGACCGCACGCACAGCCGCCCCGCGCCCGCCACGCACGCGCCGCGCTGCTCCGGGCCCCACGCTGTACACGATAAAGCCCAATTTACAATGCGATACTAGTGGCGCTCCCAGCTCCATGCTGTATATGATAAAGCCCAATTTACAATACGAAACTAGTGGCGCTCCGAGCTCCACGCTGTACACTTTAAAGCGCAATATAAAATACAATACTAGTGGCGCTCCGAGCTCCACGCTGTACACTTTAAAGCGCAATATAAAATACTATACTAGTGGCGCTCCGAGCTCCACGCTGTACACTTTAAAGCGCAATATAAAATACAATACTAGTGGCGCTCCGAGCTCCACGCTGTACACTTTAAAGCACAATATAAAATACAATACTAGTGGCGCTCCGAGCTCCAGGCTGTACACTTTAAAGCGCAATATAAAATACTATACTAGTGGCGCTCCGAGCTCCACGCTGTACACTTTAAAGCGCAATATAAAATACTATACTAGTGGCGCTCCGAGCTCCACGATGCTACGTTAAAGCCGAATTTACAGTACGAAACTAATGGCTAGAATCATGTAACTTGTTGCAGTCCTTGGTAACTTGGTTAAATTAGCGCGCTGCCTAATGGCTGGCACACGCTGCAGTTAGTTCTAAATTTGATAAAAATAATAGCATGTGGTGCGGTTATGGAATATAATTTCACTATTTGCGTTTATAAAGGACGCTTGCTTTATGAGCTGCTTTATATGGAAACCCTGAGAAATTAGAACCACTTTAAGAACAAGTTGAAAAAAGTGACAGTAAGAGTATTGCTGTGATATTATTATGTGAATATTATTATTCTATGCATCATCATTCCATATATTGTTATGACTTTTCGAACTAATTAGCCACGTGTGGTATGCAATTTAATTCCATGTGTTCTGTATTAACATAAAGTATAAACAAATATTAAAGCAATTCTAAAAAGGCTTTATTTGTTAAAGAAAGGATGATAGGGAAAAAGTAATAATATAAATAATCTAACGCGGTTCATAAGCGGCTAAAATCACTAAAATGTCCTACATGAATAAATTATTTTTGATTTCATTTGAAGGCAATACCTGGTGGAGGATCAGAGAGAGCGTCAAGGAAGAGCTTGAGTAAGCTAGAAGACGGTGGCACCGGCGCCACTAATGACAAGTCTGCCGCTCGCATCCACTCCTCCATCTCGCCACCTGGTCCACCCTCCAGAGCTTGTTTCTCCGCTGGCAACAATTCAACATATTTGAGTAACACAATTTGTACTGAAATACACAAACACTGTTTTGCCACGTCTTTATTAAAAATATTCTGTACTGTAAAGTTTTCACACATTAATGTTAATGTGTGAAAATTTACAGTTTACATAGTATACTCACAGAATTATTGTTAATGTTACACACTAATTTCAATTATTTCTCCCTCATATTTTTAATTAGTAGTGAAATTCAGCAATTATCCTATAAAGGAATCTATAAATTGCATCCCTAATAACAGTGATAATTTGTTGAAGTTAATTATTGTACAATACCATGTAGCTATTAAATTGTTATATATAATTAAGTTGTTCATGTAGTTCTATATGATAATATTCATTTAAATTGTGTAAATTTTAAAGTGATAACATAATCATATATCAATACTCACATAATTGCATTAATTCAGTTGCCCATTGTAGATTATCAGGATCTAACTGCGCGGCAAGAGCAGCACACGCGATGCGGCATCCTGCAATATTAAATAGTTACTTATTAAATGAGATATAATTATATTATTTTACTAATTAGACATCAAAGTGAGTAAATTTTATGTATAATTTAAGATAATTAATAATAATTACTATAAAATAAGGTAACTATATTATATTTTTCATACTTATTATTAGACGAAATTAGAATGAGTGTAATTATATATTTAGTAGTTTATTTTTTATGACTTACAATTGAAATTAATATATGTACAAGAGAATAATATGTATTATATTTTTCGGAGGCTCAACGAAAGATAGCAAAACAGTATTCAGACTGCTGGTGGTGGTCAAGTTCTGGAGTGTATCACAGAACAAAGAAGTAGATAGACAGATAATGGCAAATTACTCACATAACCACTATCGCCAACACGCACACTTCCACGTACACGCCAACATAGGTACTTCTCATGTCATTTTTAGCAACTCAAAAAACATACATAAACTAAATGTACTTAGCCAACCAAATAAAAATAATACTTCGTGTCATGAAACACCCGCGGCACTGGAACGCAGATCGAATTGTGTTATAACGCGTAGTATTGGCACGCGGGTTGCGTCCCCAAATATTTGTATCTACTTTTTGTTCTGTGGAGTGTATAATAAATATGTAAGAGGTAGGTGACCGTCTGCGTCTCCGGCGGCGAGTCGCTGCACGAGGTGGTCTCGGAGCGCGTGGCGGGCTGCGGCGGCCGTCCAGCGCGCCCACACGCTCGCCAGCTCCAGCGCCAGCGGCAGAAGCCGCGCGTCGCGCCACTGTCACCACACAAACCTTACAATAGCTGCCTTTACATATAAAATTTGCACATGACAGAGCGTACGTGTACCGTCAGCCTATTCGCGCGTTACAAAGCTATGCTCATTTCAATACAATTTCATAATGTAATATCGGCTTTATATACTTGGTGAGATCACATTATCAGTTCTAATATAGGTAAATAAATAATTTATGAAAACCAATGACTGCTAAAACTATAATATAATACACATACATATATAAGAAGATACCTTCGTGTCATCAGCAAGTTTGTAATAGTAGTCGAGTACAAAACTGATGTCCGAGTAGTCGACCAAGCGCGCGATGCTTGTAAGTAGCACCAGACAATGTAGGTCGCGCTCGTCGCTCGCAGTCCCCAGGTGCGTGCTTAACATGTCTACCAGCCGGTGACTGTTCATTGGAAAAAAAATATTTGAAGCTTATGTTCATTTTGCACATTTAGAAACTATGTAGGAGAATTTAATGAACGTAAGTTAAGTTTCGTCTTTGTTAGACTTCATCTAGAAGTCTTCTTCACAATGAGTACGGCGCGTTCGTTATAGCGTAGCGTAGCGAAAGTAGTACATAGGTCATTAAATTCCCGTACATAGCAAAAACTACTAATTTTAATTGAAGTGTAAAACCTACTACAGTGGTTGTCGTACTGTAGTAACTGACTAACAGTATGTAACAGATGTTATAATAATAAAATAAGCATGTAAATAAGGTACAAAATATTATTAAGTTATTCTGGCTTCTCTGCTAGTCTATGAGTCTTTGCTCTTTACTTGGACGTACTGCGGAGTGAATACACTGGAATAACTCGTCTTCGCCTGTTAGTGTAAAAGCAGCAGTCTGTTGCAGGCGGGGAATATAATTAACAGCGTCTAATTCCCGGTGGGCCGACTTTGGCCAATATTGATGCTCTCATTACACTTTCATTAATAATAGTTGATGGTCGTTCTCTGGCCCTTCCGGTCCGGTACGGGTTTCGAGCATAAGCTGAGCCGTATTAATAACAGATGTTTTTAAATAGAATTAGTAAACCGAAAGCAAGTTACAGTATTCATGAATCTAAATAAATGTATATAGGAAGTAAAGTGGAAAATAAAATGTTTATTGAAATCTTCATACAAACTGGCCCTTTACGTGATCAATTTGGTCTCAAGTTTAAAATTACGCGTACGACAATGCAGAGAAGCTCGATAATTATTGTACAGGTCTGTAGTCGGTATGTTTTAGTCTCTTTTTGTAATATGTGATATGAGTCGATCTTGAAGTTTACTTTGGTGATCACTTTCTTTTTGTAATTGAAAAGATTTCATACTTGATGCAATTAGAACTTTTAGTCAAACAGGTGCAGGCCTTCTGGAGGTGTCTCCGCATGTTGTGGCGGGTGATGCCAGCAAGGAACATCCAAGGCAAAGGGTCTTCTATGTCTGTGATCTCATACTTCTGCAGACGATCGATCAATATTTGTTGTATGAGATTGACTACCTGCTCTTGAACCTGTTTAAATATATGTACACGTTGGTTATTTTAAACATTTTCGTGCTTTAAAATGCACACACTCATTATGAATCATAATCATCATATCATAATCAGAATCATAATCAACGTTACCTTATTTTCGGGGTCTGACAGTTGATGCATGGGTCCAGAAAGGAACGCGTCAATCATAGGGTCACTAGGTGATTGTACGACAAGTTCGCCAAGTGCGGTGATTGCTGCCGATCGCACCAGGATGCTCGCGTCGCGACACAGACCCACAAGAATCTACAAGATAAGACTATTTGATATACACATTTCTAAATATAAAGCTGGTAACGTGAAACTTTTGTCGGCGCCAATGTTCAATTTAAGCTCTCTTAAGCTCGCAATGATATTATAGGGTGCATCTCATCTCAGTCCTCCAAAGTAAAACTAAAACTTTTACTCTAAAGTTTGTTTTTACTGACTGACTGAGGACTGAGATGATATGTACCCTATAATATCATTGCCGTATCTCACCGTTCAACCGAAATATACTTTACAAAACAAGATGCCTCGCGATATAAATGGGGATGATGTTGAGTCAATATTACCGGCAGCAGCCGATGGAGCAGCAGCACGATGGCGCGCCACACGGCCGCATATTGAATATACTGTGTAGTGTGCCTAGCAGTAGGGAGGTCCGTACCCCGAGATCGGCGGCGAATGCAACGCGCGCCGCGCGGCACGGTTGCATTGCGAATATACTGCGTAGTGCACGTGGTAGTAGCGAGGTGCGTACCCCTAGATCGGCGGCGGACGGCGGCGAGCGGCGCGCCAGCAGACGCTGCAACAGCGCTACGGCGGCGCGCCGCACCGCAGCACGCTCGTCGGACACGCAGCGCGCGCTCACAGCCATCAGTCGCGACACCGCTCCAGTCCCGTTCAACTCCTGTCACATATGCCTGATTACTTTTTTTTTAATTAGGGCGTATACAAAATTTAAAATATAAGAACTGAATAAATGTATTCAAATTAAATATAAATCAATTCTATGAGGATTTCTTCCAAAATTCAGTGTTAGGTACCTATCTAGGTCTAAATCTTCTACTATACGTCGAGGGCGGCATACGTATCAATCTACACCGAGCTGTACGTATATATATTATAAAAAGTGTTTTTTGTTAAAGACGTAAGGAAGACTTTGTTTGGTAAAATATCAAAATATATGAATTTTTTTTTCAACAAAACTACCAACAACAGTCATTTGTTTTTTATTTTTATATTGTTTTTTAATATTAATATGTATCATTACGTATTTTTTTCGCACTACAAACAAAGTCATTCAATGTGTGATCACATTTTATTTCTAAAATATAATTTTATATTTCTAAACAGTAGTGCTTACATTATATTGGTAATTCTATGGCTTTATGTGGTGACATACCTCGATCGCTTGATGCATGGCGGGGCGGTCGCTAGCGAGGCAGTCGGCGAGCATAACGAGCGCCCGCGTGCGTAGCGTGCCCGAAACATCGGCGACGCGCTCGTACACGGCACGCAACAGGCTGGCCAGTGGCACCGTGTGTGCGCGCGCGCTCAGCAGTTCTGCCACCTCCTCCTCCGTCATTTCATGCTCGTCCTAACATTTAATGTATTGATACGCTAGTGAACCTAGTTCAGACCATAAGACTTTTTGTAAATAGAAAAATAAACGGCATTGCATTAACAAAGTCCAATATTATTCTGTTATATGCAATAGTGTGATAATCAATGCAATTTGTAACGTGTTTGTGTATTTATATCTGTAATTAAGATGATATATTACTTCATAATAATATAACGGCTCAAACAATAGCTGCTATGACACATTCTTTCACGCGCGATTACGATTCATGAACTCTCGCAGAGTTGGTGTCGTGCGTCATTTTTCTCGTTTACGTGCTAATTCTTTTCTGCGTGAAAACGGATTCGCGCGTGAAAGAGCGTACGTATTAAGGCAAAGAACAGTTAATTTAAACATTTATCAATACATCTGTATAAATACAAGAAGGCTTAAAAATATTACTATGTCAAAAATAGAATAGAATTTATATGTATTATAGTAGTTATTTAGGAAAATACGTACAACTTCTTTCTCTGCACTCGGTAACTTTTGGCTGTTTTCATCATCGGTTGACATAGCTGCCAGTTGATTATCAGCTATGTCTACTGGATTTTTGTGCATTTCATCAAGAGCTTCATTTTGGGGTTGCTGTTCAGTAGTAGGTTGCAATGAATTATCTTAAAGATGGAAAACAGTAAAAAAATTGTTGAGAAAGTCTTTTGATATTATATCTTCTTGTCTTTTGAGATTATAGTATAAAGTTTTCTTATGTTCTATAATCAAAACTATAAAAAAAAAATTATGTATTATTTACAATTATCACTTCACTCTCTACAACTCATAACCATGAAATCGAACTCGCGATCTTTGGAGGTTAGGTGAATTAAACTACTACATTGCCGAAGCCATTTTATGATGTAATATTACTAATACTCATGCATTTTTAGTTATAAATTATTCTTTCTGGTTAATAAAAAAAAATATTACTACTCTCACCTGAGTTGTCTGTCTCCATCACGGGTTCTTTAGATTTAGCTTCTTCAGGGTCATTACTCAGTAATTTAGAGAGCATTTCCTAAAAAACAATCAGTCGTTAAAACTTACAATGTGTAAGTCAGGTCAGTTAGCCCCTCGTGGCGAATGCATTGGAAATTGCCATAATCGTGTCCAGCGTGGAGGTCAACCTAACACTTATCTGTGCTTTATCGTTCTATTTATATTGTAACTAACATATAGTCATCATCACCACCATCAGCCCAGTCCTATGGGACTGCAATTGGTACGCACCTTGGGAGACCTTCTACGTACCTTAAGAGAAAGGCTGAAGATTGTGCCCACTGACGTCAGTGGGCTAAATCTTCAGCCCATCTCTTCCTGTTATTACCCGCAATCCTACGTATGTCGTCGCTCCACCTGTCTGCGGGGAGTAACCGCGTTTTAGCAAACGTAGTGTAGTTACAACGTTTGCTAAATCGCGGTCTCCACTCTAGATCACATCTACTCCAGCGAGCATCGGTTCTGCGACAGATATGACCAGCCTGTAACTTCAACTTTCAAAAACAAAGAACTATGTCGGTGACCTTCTTTGGCGAATCACTCCGTATTGAATTTGATCCTTCAGAGAAACTTCAAGCATTGCTCTTTCCATAGCTCGTTGAGAGTTGGTAGGCCGACTCGCTGACGAAACGACTGCGTTTCATTAGCGTGCACGTTTCGGCTCCGTAATTAGTAATAACGGATAGGATGCACTGATTATACCTTATACCTTTGTTTTAAGGCTTTGTGGAAGCAACGACGAGAGACTTTTCCAAAAAATATAGTAGTGAACGATAAATATCTATCCATTATAGAAAAAAAAATACAAACATAGTCTGCTTGAAGTAGTTCAGTATCTGACGCAAAAAATGACAATACTCAGGGAGCTAAATCATAGTATATGTGTAGGTAGGTGGTCAAGCATGGTATATGGTTACAAAATTGGAGCTATAAGTACAATATATATACATACCATTGCAATTTGACGATGGGAGACTTTTGAAGTAGTGGACAGTTTTATTATCCATTTAACAAAGTTACTATATGACTTCTGGGGAAGTAAACTCATTAATCCAATGATTAATGAAACACGAGCTGCGCGAACTTCTGCACGCTCCTATAAACATAATAAAGTTATTAACTAGAAGTAATTAATTGAGTGTATAATTTTATTTATTTTACATAAAATAATTAACAAATTTAAGAACGAGCCATTCTTCATTTTATTTAATGTACTCACCAAACCATCTAAAGTATAGCACAGATGTTGCAGTAATATAGTGTATCCAGGTAATGCTGATTTCCCATATCTACTTAGAAGTAAACCAGAATATGTGACATAAGATGCTCTTATAAGGTTCTAAAAATATATTACAAATGTTAATAAAAGGTTATAATAAATAAATAAAATGAGTCTATGGAAAAAAAAATCTTTTATATCTCTAAGAAGCAAATTATGTATAGTTTCCTAATATGCTTGCTAATTTCGCCTTAACACAAAGAACATTCATTTTATTTAAAGTCTAGTACAAATTTCCACTGCACTCAACCTCTTATTGAGACAGAGTTACAAATTTATCCTATATAAATAAAAGAGTATTGTAATTTTCTTAGGCAGTAGGTAACTACTAATAAAGACAGTTAATAAGTTAATGATCATATTTAGTTCATAAATTATCTTACATTAGCATTCCTACAGTCCATTGATGCTGCTACTAATTTTGGAAGAATACATTTGAACACCAATTGTATTGCATTTTTATTTGGATCTCCATTGGCTTCACATATCAATACATCTATCAACTCATAAATTACTCTAGATATATTCCCTAGTTCAATTTTGTCTGAAAATAAGTGGTTTTATTAATTTAGTAATAATAATATCATAAAAAAGGAAAAGTTATCTATAGACATATACTCACACCTGTAAAATATAAATGTATTCTGGCCCATATAACTTTATAAAAAAATATGTACTAAATATAATAATAATATCTCAGGACATTCCCACAGCATCATTAAATCCCAATTTAAACAGAATTGGGTGTGGGCTGGGTCTGTTATGGGTACTAAACAGCTGATACAAATACTTAGATACATTTTTTTGTAAATAGAAATATACATACATATAAAATATCCAGATTGATACAAATAACCATGGTCACGAATAAAAATGTTTATGCACAGCCAGGAATCAAACACCAATTTTTGGGGTAATGCATCCTAGATCCCTGAAGCAGCCAAATTACAAATAAATATATGAACTTAGTGTTGTTCATATATTTATTTGTAATTTGGCTGTGTAAATGTGTGGTTCCCCCTTAAAAATATTCTGTATGATTAGTCATACAGAATATTTTTAAGGGGGAACCACATAGATGTTAAACTGATAAGGTACATTGTTAGTAATAGGGTAAATATTCTTTATTACTAACAAGGCCTTTTAAATTACATTGACTTGAAATTTTCAAAACTTTAACAGCTAGCTGAACTATGATTGGGGCCAGAAATTTCAATGTATGTCTATGTGATATAATATTAACTACATGCACATGGAATTTCTGGCCATTTGTTTTTGGTCTGTGTATTTTTTAGATGAGTAATATAATTAGGTAGGCATCTAAGTAGATTTAGCCCAGGGCCCCACAAATTCACCATCCGCCCCTGCGTATTCCACCTTACCATACATTGCTTTGAAATAAAGACCTTAAATTCCTACCACCAAAAGCTACATATTAAAAATCATAAATGTCTCATAATAGAGTATACTAACCTACATTCAGTTTGTTAACAATGGCACCTCCAGTTATATCAACTAAATTACTTAAAATGTCCTCAAAGTTCATGTCATTAGGGTTTAGTTGTAAATTTTTTATTATAGCTTGCAAATCAAGAACAAAGTGTCTTAATTCCCTTATGACCGAATTAACTTCTCTTGTTAGCTCTTTTGTGTTATAATAGCTATCTTCATTATCACACATCGCTTTTGGGAAGCCAAGGCAGCCAAGAGAATGTGCAAATAATTGAGAATGATAAATATGGTATGCTTTATATCCAGGTACAAATAATAATTTGTAATATAAACGAGATGCTAGCAAGGCATTATTTCTGTATTCCTTAGTTAGTATATTTCTACTACCATAGTCAATGTGATAAGCTATAATAGCGAGCAGTTTTTCATGCATCACATGATTGGAGAGTGTAGCCCAAGATTTATCATCAGAATTTGTTGTATTGAGCCAGTCATCAAAAGATTTCATTATACTTTGAAATACTGCTTTAATATCAAGTGACTCCAATATACTTTCATATTCAGGGGGAATATCACCAAATTCTAGAAACTCTGAATAATAAATTGCCTGTACCCATTCGTCACTAAGAGTGTCTAAATGTAATGCATTCAATTCGTTGATAACATTCATCATTGTTACTCATTGAAATATCAAGAATTACAAGTTAATTATTGTTAAAAAAAATACACAACATTACTATTGAAAAGAGAAAAATTGGAAATATAAATAATACAAATATTTAAATTAAACAATTTTAAATTGACAACTTAAAAGAAAAGACAATTTATTGGGGAATTGTAAACAAAAAATTCAGATTACAACTATGGCACAGAGGCCACAGACTATGTCTACCATAGAGTTGATGCTCATTTTTATGTTATGCCATAGTAGAAAGAAATTAGCCTAAAATAAAAATAAAACAAACCCCTAGAAGTAAAAAATTAAGATAAATTAAACAATCGTCAAGATTTTCATGAAATGTTAAAAAATAAAAATAAACTTTGTGGGACTTTAGGCAACAATATTAGTAATTAAAAGCGTAGTAGATTATTTTTAAAAGTATAATATTGTAGAGCATATAAAGCAAATCGATCATTGAGATAATACATAATTTTGCTCAAAATTTGGGAGCAATAGGTTGTACGCCCGACAGTCAACACGACAGTATGGTTATGTAATATTATGTTATCTGTGGTATGGTAGTGGAAAATGACATAACTACTGAATTACTGATGTCTCGTGCCATTCACTCATGCTTCACCATTCGTGATGCCATAATGTAGAGATGCGATTATCGATTATTATCGAGAAGATATCGATTACATTTTTAGTGGATCAATATATTATAATCTAATTGTGCCCGCGGTTTGATCCGCGTTAAATTTCAATAAAATAATATAAGTTATGTGTTCTTATGCATAAGTCACATCAAAAACCGTTCAGTAGTTTTTGTGTAAAAGAGAAACAAATATTCATACTTACACACTATCACATTGTAAAAATCGATTATAGACAAAATAATATTTTTTTGTTGGAATAATAATAAATATCAAGAAGATTATTTGTCACATTACTATTCTTATATTGCTTACAATATTATATTACATTAGTAAAAAGAATAAATCTAGAAAAGAATTATTTTTTATTACCAAAAGTCTGCCTTATGTTTTCTGCGGAATTTATATTACAATATCTATTCTTTTATTCGCTTTTGAATTTTATATAATTCAGTAGGCTTGTTTTTTAAGCCATTTAGATAAATATTGGAGGACAAAAAATACTGAAAAATGTATTAATTTGTTACATTATTAAAATTGATTAAATATTATCCAATATTTTGGTGAATACAATCGATGTTTTCGTAATCGATTACAGTTACATCCTTATTGACATCCTGCTCATGCTCAGGATATCATGTTCTAAGTACAAAATTATTGAAGTGTAACTTGTTTTTATTTATAAATTAATTACTGGATGCATGTAGAAAGTCTATTGTATTAAATCCAAAATGGTAACAAAACGCTCAATATCGTGGTTTTTAACGGATTCGGGTAGAAAGTTTTCTTACGCAGTAGTCACTGGAACTGGTATAGCATTGACTACCGCAAAATTTGCACCTCACACTTTCTTGCTAGATAAATATAAAGACTTTGTTCACTATTACAGGTGACTCGATTGTTTTTATTTATAAGAAATACATATGGAATTTATTATACGTTCCCTTGTAATTTTCAATTTGTGTTAGCAGGAGCCAGTGCCAAATAAATGCTTATAGATTAGATAGATTCATTAAGAGATCTCAGAAAGTATGTATTAGAGTACATGTGTATGAATATAACATTACTGTTTTATTCAAACGAAGCCACCAGTCTGATAAATAACTTAAAAATAAAATTCAGTTAAAATATAGTGTAAATATATTTCAATATTTATCTATGGATAGGATACTATCACATGGAAGTAAACTATAATATAACTTTTCAAAAGTTATTAATTTCAAAAAAGTCTATTTCATTTTTATTATACAATGAGCAACTATTGACATTTGTGTTCTATTTTTTAAAACTTTTATTTTAATTATCTGTCACTAGGTGCTGTTTATTGTTTCATTTAATTAAATAATAATAGAAGTGTAATATATAGACTTATAAAATTTTGCTACTTTTGCTTACCAATCAGTAATATTAACAATGCAATTGTTTCAGTAATGGGCAGCCCGTTGAATTACCAAAGAATCTATGTGATCAATATCAAAAGTGTCTAGATGTACTTAAAGTTCCAGATATACACAGGAAATATCTGTCACCATTTAGTGTATTTGGATATGATCTATTTCATGCTGGTAAGATTTGTATAAAATTATGCATTGTATGTTAATATAAAAAATATTGTATTTTTTAATATGTACTTTATATCTCTTTAAATTGCTTTATTACAGGCAGTACAAGCTCAAAATTTGGTGGCGCTATAGGAATACCTGTTAATTTTTCATACAAATCTCTAGTTGATTTAGAAAATCATGGTATAGAGGTAAAATTAATTTTTATTAGTTTTAACTAATTTGTGATCTATTGTATATGCCAAAAGGGGTGTTTTTTCAGGGAACGCCAGAATTTTTGACATAGCATTGAGACTTAGAAATCGCTCCATCAGTTTTTCACTCTATATATTTTTTGTATGTGATATGTTATACGAAAATAATAATACTGATTGTTACAGGTTAATTTAAAGAAAGTAGACTGGTCTTCTGAAACTGGAAAGAAATTAGCAGATGCCCTTATTTTACCAGACAAAGTCAAAGAATTTGCAATATGTAGGGAAATATTAATGACTCAAAATAAAAAAGTGTTTTATGAGTCTGCATATCCATTTACATGTGTGTTCTTTGTATATAATCTGGCTCAGTATATTTGTCGTAAATATAACTTTTATGCTGCTCCTACAATTATTAGGGCTACATTATACAGTATTTTAGGCGTTTTTGGATTAGGATCCTATTTTCTTATGAAAGATGTAACAGAGGTATATTATGAAACTGAAGTCGATAAAAAGTTGTGTGAGTTAGGACCAGAATTTATTGAAAGTGGAGTAACATTTTATAATAAACTACTACAAAGGAACCAGGCCTTAAGGGAGCTTATGGGAAAAGAGGGAGAAAATAAATATAGTAAGTTGGGTAATGAAAATTTTGGCATCCGGCAACCTCGCTTGGCATTAGTGCATCGAAAACAGTTCTTTGAAGAGAGATTGTGTGAGTATAAAGAAATCGAAAACACCAAGCAAGAATAAGATTGAATAACTCAACATTAAAATGATTTAAGAGTGTGAAGTATATTTTTATTGTTAATTTAATTTAATAGTGAAATTTAATAGACAGCAATTTATTGTTATATATTCTTTTTATAATTTGACCTTATAACTTTCCTAGAACTTATCCTGTCTTCTTTTTTTGAAACTATGTCAATGTTGTTAATCGCAGTGCGGAGGCATTGCAAACTCGTAGAAGAACTTATGAAGCGGATAAAGCACGGATATGACTTCGTTGTAATTTCTATCCACGTTTAAATTAGATAGGAAATTGATTTAATATCGAGATTTATCAAATAATTTTATTCCAATTATTTTATTGTAATTGTACCTTAAATTTTCCGAAAATTTATATTATCTACATGAAGCGTAGCAATAGGGGGGGAGGATCATGGCTCGAGAAGATAGAAACTAACAATCTTTACAGTTTAACAAATTTTTATTCAATTTAAGAAATTATTACGTGAGCGAGATTCGTATGGTAAAGGCTGATGTAAGGCAGTGAAATTATTGTATTGTATATGTAATTTTACCACCTATTTAACTGCATATTGTAACTACACAAATATTTAGTTTAGTTAGTATATTCGTGGAACTTTCTTTCATGATACATGTTACCTACTATGGGGTCTTGCGGTGTCACTCATTTACCTACCTAAATTCAAGAAAAGCCTTCTATGTTAATTTGTTACCTATATGATTTACTAGCTGTGCCCGCGACTTTGTACACGTGGAATAATGACCTTTTTGTTTATTTAGGCAAACTATTTTATAAATAAGACATGTACCATATATACATATATTTTAATAAGCTACTTGGAGTGTCTGACAGCTTATTAAAATTGTTGACGTAACTGAGGAGATAACTAACAGAAATGAGGAGATCTGCAGAAGAACCAGAGTGACCAACATAGCCTGAAGAATTGGTGACTGAAGTGGCAATGGGCAGGGCACATAGCTCATGGGGCAATAAAGTCCTCGAGTGGTGACCACGGACCGGAAGACGCAGCGTGGGAAGGCCTCCAGCAAGGTGGACCGACGATCTGGTCAATATCGCTGGAAGGCATTGGATGCGAGCAGCTCAGGACTGATCGTCGTGGAGATCTTTGACATAGGCCTCCCATGTCCAGTAGTGGACGTCTTCCGGGATGAGATGATGATGATGATGATAAAGTTAACTAAATTCGAAATTAATCTAATTTTGACGAATGAAATAAAAAACAATTCTTGAAAAAAAATTTGTAGACTTTCAAGCCAAAGAAACTTTCATCCCCTATTTTATTTTAGACTTTTAGGGTATAATTTGTACAAACTTTGAATGTTGAACTGAACTATTACAACTGAAATAAATATAAATAAATATTATATTTAATTCAATTTTAACAGTCTAAAAAATAAGTTTCAAGCTACTAGCTTTAAAAATGACGATTCTTCCATACAAGCTTTTATCTCCCCTTTCAATTCCTTATCTTATACTTAATATCTTACTTTTTCGCTTTAAAAAGTAGTCCGTCGTAGTAGTCTTCAATGTCCTATCTCAGGACACAAACTAGCTGTGTACCAAATTTCATTTAAATTGGTTCAGTAGTTTTGCCGTGAAAGCGCAACAGACAGGCGAAGTTATTTTCTCATTTATAATGTTAGTAAGGATTTGTATAGTATCCATTTAAAATATTAACGACAAAGGAAAATATAAATATCTTCACAATTGCATTCTCATGATCATGAGTAATATTTGTAGGATATAAAGTTAAGGATATAAAATTATACGATAACCAAAAGTATTATTACTGTATTTTTTTAACGTAATTATTAATATAATTTCTTTTTCATATTTTCTTTTATTAACCAATGTAAAAAACTTCTTTACATATATGGCAAGTCATAACATACAGTAATTCATATTTATATAAATTCAATCTAATTACAATTACATTAATAAGTAGATTTACATTAATTAACAAAATTACATTAATTAAATACACAACATAATTAATAACAGAATATTACGACGAATTACGACATAATTAAATTTAATATATACCTAATTGCAAGAGAGTTTGCAGGTACAGTCAATTGAAAAAATTTATCTACACAATATGACGAACCTGCTTTACCCTTCGTTACCCATATTATCATCATCGATATGAATCCGTGATATAATAAATAATAATAAACCGGACAATTTACATAGCGCTACTTAGTTCCAAATTAAGCAGAGCTTGTACCATTGTATTAAACAATTGATAGAATTACTCATAATTTGTTTTTGTAAATATATAGGTACATAAAATGCACAAAAAGCACGCAGACAAATATAAAAAGTGATACCTACTTTTCAATATAAATATTTGTGCCGTGCGAGATTCGAGGTAGCGAACATCAGAAGCGTGGCGTTATACTAAACAGCTAGACCTTCGTCGAAGAAGTCATGTGCACTGTTTTCTTAATGGATGACAATAGCACGGTGCACCTGCAAACCCTATCGGTGAAGTCATGAAGTCAGATCCGTTAGCCCATCGTGTTTAATTTACAACACGATGGGCTAACGGATCATCGTGATCTAATATGGTAATTTTTAATAATGTCTCTATATTCCTAACAATATATACCCGGTGAAGTTAGTAGTGGTAGTATTGTAATAGGCAAACTACAAAGGGGCCATTTACCCCCCATCCCACTTGTCAGCAAAAGTAGGCAAAGTTATTAACCCTTCCCCCATGCTTACGTAAACAGTTTTCAATTAATGTATTGTTTTTTAGCAAAGACGGTCTGAGGGATGACACTCGTGTAAAAAAGTAAATAACTACCGATCACGTAATCATCTAGACTCTACGGGGGTGTCATCCAAAATAAAGTAAAGATAACTTTTTTGTTTGTAAACCGATTGCAATAAAGCACAACATTTTAAATGAAGCTTACCACAATATAATAAATAAATAGCAACTAAACCGATTAAGATATTCCTGAGATTTACGCACCAAAGCAATACAATTAGACAGGCTTACAATTTATTATTATTTTTGTACACCGGAACCTGCGAACAGAGCAATGTAAGGTAGAAGACCAAGAGATTGAGATAGCTTGACAGAATATTAATTTACGTATCCAAATTTCTATATTACTCGAGTTTATAAAAATGGAGTTACCTTCTACATTATTATTATTATTATTAGTTAGTTTTATAAATACAAAGTTGGCACCTGTACATGTACAAACTAAGTAGGTAGATATCAACATAATAATTTCCGTATGATTGCATTGGTACAATGAAATAATATATATTAATATTAGCAGTTATTAAAATTATAGTGCATTATAATTATTTATATAACGCAAATATAATTAAATATTCGCATTATATAAATAATTATAATGCAAAAGAATGTAAAGATTGCGATTCGGTTTTGAATAAGTTGAGTAGTCTTTGCAACTTGCTAGTTTAGACACATCGATCTAAGTGGTTATTATGACTATATACATGTGCCTTGTATATTAATTAAAAAGGAGATTAATCTTAAAGAAGACATAAATTATTTAAAGGCGAATATCCTGCATAGCCTATCAGCAAAATTGCTGCGTATGTAGTTAAAGTACATACGTGTCCCAGTTATAGTTAGGAAAGACATGTTCCCGTCTTTCCTAACTATAACTGGCTCTTTCAAGTTCAAGAACAAAAAAGATAAAAAATAATACCCTCTACTAAATTGTATTTTGGTATGTTTATTTACCTATATCTTCTAGTTTTTAGTATCTACTTGCAATGGTAGGATTTACTCTCAAAGCACAATTAGGTAACACCCAGCAGTCAATATTTAATAGAAATAGAATAACAATTTATATTATATTTAAAAAAAGTTGTTATGTAGTAGTTATTAGGAAACTAATGTTTGTATAAATAATGATAGATAAATAATTGAGCGACCTTTTGCAGTTAGTTATTATGTGGTCATTATATATGCTATAGCTGTTTTGTGACATATCCTGCGCTTGCTCAACAAAGACTCCCTCCCGCCGAATTGCTGCGATGGTATCAAAACAAAAGCCCCATGGAGAAATTAATTTCAAAAGATATACTGGATGCCATGCTCGAGGTGGTGAGTGACTTTATTCACAAGCATATCTTTATTGTATATAGGAAAATATAAAAAGAGGCTAGCTCTGATTACCTGCCTCCTCTAAACATAGTTTAATTATAGGAGGCAGGCAATCAGAGACAAACTATAAAATATTTGAAGTATACATAGATTTTTTAACGTTGATACTAAATTATAAATTTTAAAAATGTGTATGGAGATTAGGATAAAGCATTTTATTTGAGTCGTGTACAATGATATCTACTATTATTAAATATTTAGTGTAAAAATTCTTTAAGGAATAAGTTGGTTTAAAAAAACTATTTAGTAATATTGTGTAAATTTCTTAATTGGTTTCATCATTTAAATACGTCATTTAGAACCATCCGTAACGGAAGACGAAAGGGCTGGAATGTAACTTCTCATCAATAAAAAGTCTATGGTGTCTCCGCTAGTCTTTATGTTGGGTAGATGCTATCATTTTTTTCTATAATAATTACAGTACATCTGTTTACCTAAGTGAAACCAAAGTTGTGTCGTGAATGGGACACAACACACAGTAATCTATTTGATATTTAGTTAGAGGTACGGGAAAAATGAATTCGTTATTATCTGAGTATAGACTTAGGTATCGTTGTCTGATTATAGGTATTTTGTTTTTTAATTGATCACGGATGAATAACAGGTGTTGCTTGTTATCTCCAAAGCCATTTTGTATGAACGAATTTTAAGATTAACACCTGTTGTATAAGGGATTAATTTCGGTAGGTATACTACTAATTATTTTTATCTGCCGTGTGATAAATATAATTCATATCAATGTCTACATAGGTAGACATAAAGACAATGTTACAGACATTTCCTAGTTTTTATAGTTAAATTTATTGGGTACCTACCTATATATTAAATTCAGAATCACATAATTTAGACATTTAATAAAAAGTATATATTTTGAAATGGAGATCATAATTATTATCTAAGGATATAATT